TCTGGATAAGCAATGGCATCATGTAACTTGACTATGCCCACTTTGCCTTCGTTGTAGGATGTGGCCATATGCCAGTAAATGTGAAATTTTATTAGTATTAATATTAATTGCATTCATGTACCTATAGATATTATGATATTTCTAATATGTGCTATTATAACAATACTGTTTGTAGTACTGTATATTATAAGTAATCATCATTGGTTCAACAAATATTGGGGTTCTGTTGATGGATAATGTCAGAAATTAGGAAAAACAGCCTCTGTGTTTCAGACAGTGGGCTGGCATTGTGAGGGCCGGTAGTGGGAAGGAGTGTGTTGCATTTGTGGAACTGATAATTGCTAGATGGCTTAAATATAGAGGAGAGGGGAATATGGGCAGAGGCTAAGCCAAGGAAGTTCTTGTAGGCTGTGTTAAGGCCTTTGGCCCTTAAGAGCAATAAGAAAGACAGTAAAGGATTTTAAACTTAGGAGAGAGAGCATGATTAATACTTTAATGAAATACTTTAATACTTTAATAAAAAAATTATTTGAGCATGGTGAGAATGGATCTGAATGGGATGTAGTGTGGACGTAGGTTAGGAGGCTGCTGGAGTAGTCTAGGCCAGAGATTATGGTGGCTTCAAGCAGAATATTGGCAGTGGAAATGGAAAAGTGGAAGGATTCAAGAGTTTAGAGGTGAAGTTGACAGAAATTGCTGATGGTTGGTGTTGGAATGTGAGAGTGAAGTTGGTTGGAACTGTTGTGACGTTTCTCCCTTAAGCAACGTCATGGATTATGGGCCTACTCGCGACGGGATTGCTGGAAGAGGAATAAATTTGTAGGAGGTGGAACTGGACTTCACTCTTGGACATACCGAATTGAAGCGCCTTTGAAGGCCGGGCACGGTGACTCACACCTGTAATCCCAGCACTTTGGGAGGCTGAGGCGGGTGGATCACCTGAGGTCAGGAGTTTGAAACCAGCCTGGCCAACGTGGTGAAGCCCCATCTCTACTAGAAATACAAAAATTAGCTGGGCATGGAGGCGGGTGCCTGTAATCTCAGCTACTCAGGAGGCTGAGCCAGGAGAATTATTTGAACCCGGGTGGCAGAAATTGCAGTGAGCCAAAATCGTGCCATTGCACTCCAGCCTGGGCGACAAGAGCAAAACTCTGTATCCAAAAAAAAAAAAAAAAAAAAAAAAGTGCCTTTGAAGCATCCACATTGCAGTGTTGTATAGGTAGTGAGTTAATATGGGTCTGGAACTCAAGGGAGAGTTTGGACGGGAGATGTGTTTGGGATAGTTAACCTCCATGATTTGAGGTTGTAGATGTGGGTAAGATTCCTTAGAGAAGTGTGTCTTAGCCTGGACTATACATTGGAATCACTCGAACTTTGAAAAATACTACCCACCCCACAGATTCTGATTTAATTAATCTAGAGTAAAGCTGGGGCATTGGGTTTCTACGAGCTTCCCAGATGGTACTAATGTGCAGTTAAGGTTGAGACTCACTGGTCTACAGAGAACCTACGCTGAGACTAGGAGAGAAATCAGATTTGAGCCTTGAACACATATGGCCGATTAGAGAAGGATGAGCCTGCCCAGGAGAGTGTTAAAAGGTGGCCAGAAAGGTGGAACAAAGACTAAGTGTAGTATTGTATGGTGTCATAGAAGTAAGTGAAAGGGTGGTGAGCAGTGTCTGTTGGCTACTGACAAGCCACTTACAATGGAACTTGGATTTGGCAACATGGACATCATTCATAAACCATAGGGAAAGCTGTCAGTGGGAAGCTTGGAACAGGTGCCAGTTAGATGGAGTTGAGAAATGAGAGGAAATGGAGACAGCTAGCATAGGCAGTTTTTTGTTTTTGGGGTGTGTGTGTGTGTGTGTGTGTGTGTGTGTGTGTGAGTGTGAGATGGAGTCTCACTCTGTCACTCTGTCACCCAGGCTGGAGTACAATTGTGCGATCTTGGTTCATTGCAAACTCTGCTGCCCAGGTTCAAGTAATTCTCCTGCCTCAGCCTCCTGAGTAGCTGGGATTGCAGGCACCTGTTACTGTATCCAGCTAATTTTTTTTAGTTTTTTAATAGAGACGGGTTTCACCATCTTGGCCAGGCTGGTCTTGAACTCATGACCTCGTGATCTACCCGCCTCGGCCTCCCAAGGCATAGGCGGTTTTTAAAGGTATTTGGGAAGAGAGACCCACGTGTGGAGCCTAAGAGGTGTGCCATTGGATTAGTATGTTTTTGGCTGTAGGTAACAGAAACTTGATGCAACTGGTTTAGAAGGTAAAGAAAACTTACTTTATTCAAGAGTTCCAGAAGACGGTGGCACTAGGATTGTGTATTCAGTGGCTCAACAGTGTCATCAGAGGCTTAGATTTTTCCACCCTCAGTGTGTGACTTGGTCCTCAGGCTGTCCTCTCAGAATGTAGGATGGCTGCTGTAATTCAGACATCAGCAGAAGGACAACTTTGTCTTATATCCTTTAAAAAAAAGTCTTAATACACATGCTGAAAAGTATACAAGTGTTAAGTGTATAGATGGTATTTTCAGAAGTCAAACAACTGTAACCAGCACGCAGATCCCCTTGTTCCTCCTCCTAGTCATGACTTAACTCCTCCCCCAGGATAACTACCATCCAGGCTTCCAGTGGTTCATTTTGCCTGTTTTAGTGCAATGTAAATGAAATACTATACTATGTGTTCTTTTATGTTTGGTTTTCAGCATCATTATTGAGATCCATATTGTGTTGCATGTAGGTGTAAAGCATTTATCTATTGCATGAATATACCACATTTTATCCATTCCATTGTTGATGGTCATTTGAGTAGCTTCTCGTATTTGGTTTTGACAGATAGTATTGTTGTGAACATATGTATTCATTTCTTTTGAGTGTATAATCAAGGAATGGAATTGTTGGGACAGAGGTTATGCTTATATGCATTTAGCTTTCCTGTGTGGTTATCATTTTGTACCCTTACAGCAGCATATGAGAGTTTCAGTTCTGTGCCCTCACCAACACTTATTATTTTTCATGTTTTATTTTAGACATTCTGGTGGGTATGTATTGGTATGCCACTGTCATTATAATTTGCATTTTTATAAATTGAATAAGGATGTTTCAGATTTCATAAGGTTATTGACCATTTGGATATTCTCTTTTGTGAAGTGCCTGTTAAGGTCTTTTGCTATTTTTTTTCGAGTTGAATGCCTTATTCATTTTTAGGAGTTTTTCTTTTGTTTTGTATTCTGAATATGAGTCATTGGCCAGATATAAGTATTGCAAATATCTTCTCACACTCAGTGGCTTGCCTTTTCACTGTTGGTGTTTTCTTTTCACAAACAAGTTACTAATTTTAATATAGTACAGTTTATCAATTTTTCCTTTGTGATAAGTTCTTATTGTGTTCTGTTTACCGTCTTTACCTATTCAAATGTCACCAGATTTTCTGTGTTTCATCTAAAGGTTTGATTGTTTAACTTTGATACACAGATCTGCTGTCCATCTGGACCTGGTGTTTGTATTTAGTGTGAGGTAGTATTCAAGATCCATATGGGCCAGGTGCGGGGGCTCATGCCTATAATCCCAGCACATTGAGAGGACAAGGCAGGAGGATTGCCTGAGCCCAGGAGTTTGAGACCATTCTGGGCAACATAGTGGGACCCTGTCTCTACAAAAAATTTAAAAATTACCCAGAAATTAGCTAGGTATGATGGCATGTGCCTATAGTCCCAGCTACTGAGGAGGCTGAGGTGGGAGGAGCACTTGAGCCTGTGAGGTCAAGGCTGTAGTGAGAGGGACTGGCATTGCACTCCAGCCTGGGTGACAGAGTGAGACCTTTTCTCAAAAAGAAGAAAAGCAAAAAAAAGATTCATATGGATGTCCAATCTACCCAGCACCATTTATTAAAAGAGTACATTTTCTCTATGTACTACAGTATCACCTTTGTCATGAATCAGGTGATTATGCATAAGGATCCATTGCTAGTTTCTTTATTTTGTTGTTCAGGTTGTCTATCCTTATCTAGTTGGGTTTTTTTGTATGTAACCTTCTAGTAGGTATTGATATCTGGTAGTATAAGTTATCTAGTTTTGTTCTTCCTTTTAATCTCTTTTTAAGAGTGAATTAGCATAAATATGAATGTGAAATGATGAACCAGCAAATCTTAATCTAGGTTAAAAAAACAAAGTGAATAAGTCAGTGAGTTGGGTACCTTGAGGAGACAAGAACAGTTGAACAAGTGAGATGGGATAAGCAAGGTTATAGTGAGATTTGGACACCTGAATCAGTGTTTGAACAGTTTCAAGTTCGAAACTGTTTTGAGTGATGCTGAGTTCCAGGGGTGCAGTGATGGGTGGCTGAATTGGGCTAGAGGAAGAAGTCATTGAAGATAAGGGTGCAGGAAACTGATAGACTGTGGTATGGATCTGTTAGTACTTGATAGGTTATTAATGTACATTTAATAATGTTTCTAATTTAATATCTACCTCAGAACAGGTAGAACAGAATTATCATCCACATTTTACAGATGTAATAACTTCCTAATAGCCCCAAGAAAATTAATGATTAAATTAGACCAGCCCAGGTCTTATGGTCCAGCTCCCATGCTCTGTTCAGTGTAGCTTAGCTGATGTGTTGTGTGAAAGACCTGGTAGTGATACATCTGGAAATCAGAAGTCTTACTGACTTACAGAAATAGTACAGCAAAACATACAGATAAAAATGTTATGCATAGATACAATGTCTATATGTGGAAGAAATACTTCAGAAATATTAAAAGTAGTTATTCCTGGGTAGTTGTGATTGTGACTCTGGGTGACTTTTTCCCTTTGTCTTATTTTTCTGTATTTTCCAAATTTCCTATAATGGACGTATATTATATGGATTTTTAAAAATTATGATTATCTTTTGACTAGATAACATACATGGAAAATTCAGAGTACACATATGCAAGACATAATACTTTTACTATAAAAGAGTGAAAATTTTAAAATACTTAATTGTTTTTCTTTTTAGAAATGCCCTCAGTGATGGAAAGAGAGCCATTATTCTGAAGAGCACTTGGCCAAAGGTAGGTTTCTTCTGTATTTTACATTGAGCAAATAATGCCATACAACACTGTGAAAAATCTGTTCATGGATGTGTTTGCTCATAAAAATGCTATATGATATTATGTAGAGCTCCAGAATGTGAAAGGGGAGTCATCAGACCCATGATCAGCATGGGGACCCAGCCACAGCAGTGAAAGGCTGTGTGTGAGGACAGGCAGCCCATGGGCCATCTTGAGTCTTGAGGGTGCCTTAGTGATTGAGAGATCATCTCTGCTTATTCTGGGTGGATGTGCCTGAATGTGAAAAATGGCTTAAAACTGGAAGGAAGTATAGGACACTGTCTTTATAGGAGGCATGAAACAATTTCTTAACACAGTGCACAAATCAGCAGTGAAAATAGCCACCTTGATATATTTGGCTGTATCATACTTAAAAACTTGTGTATGTCAAAAGACACCATGGATGAAATTGTAGTTTGAGAGGAGATAATTTGCCACATATATAGCTGGTAGGATTTATAGACAGCACATAATTCCCAAAATAAATAAGAAACCCAGTAGAAAACGGGGCAGTAAAACAAGTAAGCATTTCACAGAAGAGTAATCCTGAAGAGCCAATAGAAATAAGAAACTATTTCTACTTCCTAGTAATTAAAATTGTAGGGATTTAATACACAGATAGAAAAATGTAACCACTAGTGCAGAATGGTTACACAGAACCCACTATGTGAGTAAATATCATGGTGTGATATTGTTTGAGTCCTTCAGATTGTCAGAAATTAAAAAAGCCTGATAGTCCTGAGTGTTGGTGAGTACGTGTAGTAACAGGGAGCCCCAGTAAACTGGTAGGAGTGTGATTGCTTACATCCAATTCAGGGAGCACTCTGACAAGACAGACTCGACAGTTACTTGATTCTGAGTGTGTGTACCCTAGACAGTTTCTTCAAATGTGCACATGGTGAGATATATAAGGTTGGTTATTGCAGCATTGTTTTAATGGCATATAACTGCAAATACATGTCTATTGATAAAACAGCAGATAAATGTGGTATTTTCACTTGATCAAAGTTGTTACTCTGACCTGTCTGCTCTGTCCCTATCTTGAACACCTGTTATTTCCCCAACCTCACTCCTACTGTTCTGTCCCTGGTTCACTTTATGTTGGCCTCTTGGCCTCCTCACTGTTCTTCAGACATGCCAGGCCTACTTCTACTTTGTACTTGCCCTTCCCTCTGCCTGGAATGCATGTCCCCAGAGCATTAGCCAGCCCCCTTATTTCCTTTCAGTCAGTATTGAAAAGGACTCTTCTCAGAGAAACATTCCCTGGCCACATTACTAAAATGCCAAACACCTCACTTCCTACGCATTTACCTTCTTTCCCTGCTTTACTTTTTTCCTCCTAGGACTTACATTATTGAATATATTATATCTACTATTTGAGCTATATTTGCTATTGTGTGTCTTGCAGTATAACATGAGCTACACAAGGAAAAATTTTTTTTTGGTGTTTAGTTCACTTCACTCTTGAATCCAGACTGTCTGACAAGCTGCCTGACATTTAGCAGGCACTCATTAGTAAGTAATTGTTGACTTAGTGATTGAATGAATCAAATAGTGGATTGCAGTTGAATTAACTGGCTTATCAACATTTATGGATTTTAAAAAGTGTTAAATGAAAAAGTCAGAAGTATGACATAGGCTGGAAAAACATCAAGTTCATGATTAGTGTGTGCTTCTGGGCAGTAAGAGAGAGAAAGGAGATTGGAGAGGGTACAAAGGAGATTTCAGCCGTATCTATATAGTTTTCTTTCATTAAAAAATCAGATGCAAATATAACAAAGTGTTGACAGTTAGTGCTGGATATCTGTGAATTAGTCTCTGTATTTTCCTAAATTATAAAAATCTCATTTTTCTTTTTTTAGCGAAGCTTTAGATGCCAGGCATGATGGTTCATGCCTGTAATCCTAGGACTTTGGGAGGCCGAGGCGGGCAAATCACTTGAGGTCAGGAGTTTGAGACCAGCCTGGCCAACATGTGAAACCCTGTCTCTAAAAAAAATACAAAAAGATGAGCTGGGTGTGGTGCTGCATGCCTGTAGTTCCAGCTATTCAGGAGGTGGAGGCGGGAGAATCACTTGAACCCAGAAGGTGGAGGTTGCAGTGAGCCGAGATCATACCACTGCATTCTAGCCTGGGTGACAGAGCAAAACTCCCCCATCTCAAAAAAAAAACAACAAATTTTTTTTTAAGTGGAGCTTTAAATAAGATATAGAAAGGCACATGTTATTTCATACTTCATTCCTGGTTTTACATAATTAAAAACTAATGCAAGTAGAATCAGAATTTTAAGGCCTTAGAGAATTTAATCTCATTTGATATTTCCATTACTGCTCTGCAAATAGCCTTCATTAGATTAATTGTAGGAGTTTATTTAATTTTTTTGAAATGAACTTTTGTTTATATTATAAATATCACATGATTACAAAGAAAAATAGAATATAGCAGAGTGTAAAGTAAAAGGGAAAAGTCAGCCTGGAGACCTTTTTTAAAAGACAGATTTCTTCACTTTTCTCCAAAATTGTGATTCAGGTTTAGGAATGTATCTAGGAGTATGGAGATTGAATAATTCCGCAGGTGGATTCCTGCATCCAGATTTTGGAATCGTTTTTTAAATGCTCTATTTTACACATGAAGAAATTGAGTCCCAGAGAGGTAGAGTGATTTTTGCCAGGTGTCATTGCAAATAAAAGACAAAACTGGATTTAGAATTCAGCACTGGATAGTGGTTCTGTTTGAGGGTGATCAGTTTGTTGGTATTTTCATTATGACTCATTCTTTTGCTTGAAACAAAATCTTTGCTGATCATTGAATCTGGCATTTGACAGGTACTATATCAATATTTGTAGAGTGAATGAATGATAGAATTCCAAATACTGAAACCCAAACCATGATACTTGTTTTCCAGAAATACCTTGTGGTATTTTAATCTATTATCAATTAAGAAAAACAGTATTAAAACTTTTTGAAGGCCTGGCACAGTGGCTCACTCCTGTAATCCCAGCACTTCGGGAGGCCAGGATGGGCATATCCCTTGAGTTCAAGACCAGACTGGGCAACATGGCAAAACCACATCTTTACAAAAAATACAAAAAACTAGCTGGGCGTAGTGGCATGTGCCAGTAGTCCCAGCTACTTGGGAGGCTAAGGTGGGATAATCACCTGAGTCCAGGAAGTTGAGGCTATAGCAAGCTATGATTGCACCACTTCAAAAAAAGAAAAAGGAAAAGAAAAAAACTTTAACAATTATTTTGAGAACTTTGTGGAGAATACTTGTTCCTCACTTAGTTTGTTAAGCAAAATAGTCATTCTTTTTTTTTCTTTTTTGTTTTTATTATACTTTCGGTTCTGGGGTACATGTACAGCTCAGGCAGGATTTTTACATAGGTATACACATGCCATGGTGGTTTGCTGCGTCCATCCCCCCATCATTTACATTAGGTATTTCTCCTAATGTTATCCTTCTCCAATCCCCCCACCCCCTGCTACCCACTCTTTTTAAAAATTGGAATGTTTGGTGATGTGTCATATGATTGCAGAAATATTTGTATAGATAAAAACATATAACCACTAGTAGGTATTTAACAAATTTGGTAACTGCATAACTAGGTTATTTTTCTTTTCTTTTTTTCTTTTTATCCCAGAAAAGAATGCTCATTGAAGGTTAAACTTCAGAAGCAAAAGTAGATCATACAGGGTGCATAAGATTGCCTTACTTTAGAATTAGTTATGAGCCTAAGTCTATGGAGTCTTACCTCTCAGATATAAGCGTGTTAGAGAATGTACTCTGTAGATTTCTAAGTGAGGGTGGGTCATATTTTTTTCTTCTTCTTAATGGGGAAGATTGATACAATGTCACCTGTCTCTAGACTTACTTTCAGGATTTAGAAAGGGTGAGTCATATGTCCTGAAGAGTGAGAATTTTTATTAGCATCAAAAGATATGTTTATACATGTCTGTGTGCATTGTGTTTTGGTCTATGATAGGATACAAAGTATTAACCTCAGAAATGTCCTCCTCAGAAATGTCCTCAAGAACATTTAAATTTTGAGGAGTACTTTAAGACTTTTGTTTGTGCATGACAGAAACCAAATTCAGATTTGACTTAAGTAGAAAAGGGAATTAATTGGCTCATGTAACTGAAAAGTCTAGGGTTTAGATTCAGGAATGGTTGGATCCAGATTTGTACATATTTTTCTTTCATTTTCTCAACTTTGCTTCCCTGTTTGTCAGCTTCGTGTTTAGTCTTTTTCTAGCTACCCTCTCTGATTTTATGTGGATTCTCTTCTTAACTCTCCAAGCTCACTCATCTTTTTCTTTTGCTGTGTTTTATCTGCCTGTATGTCCATTCAGTGTCTTTTTCATCTTAAATGCTGTAGTTGTCATCTCTACAAGTTAAATTTGGGTCTTTCTTACATATTTCATGCCTTTAACATATTCCATCTTTCCTTTAACCTCTTGAACACATGGGGATAGTTATAATAAATGTGTCAATGTCCTTGTCTACTAAGTCTGTCATCTGTGTCATTTGTGGGTTGTTTTCAATTGGTTTGTTTTGCTCTTCAATATAGGTCATATTTTCCTTCTTTGCATAGCTGGTAACTGGATGCCAGATGTAAATTTCACCTGTTTGGTGCTATATATTCTTGTTTTTCTTAAATATTCTTGATCTTTGTTTGGAGATCCAGTAAAGTTACTTGGAAACAGTTTACTTCAAGGTCTTGTTTTAAGAGTTTTTTAGGTGAGACTATAGCAGCATTTAATCCAGGGCTAATTTTTTCCCCACTACTGAAGTAAATTTTTTTCTGAGTACTCTACTTGAAGTAGAGAATTCACCCCATGAATTATGGTATTTTTCACTCTTGGTGGTGGGAACAGGAATTATTCCCGATTTGTTTCAGTTCTGGCTTTTGTTCCCTGTGAGCCTTTCAGGTTGTTCTTTCTCTGGCCGTGGACTGTTTCCCCAGGCATGTGCTGATGGGCACTTAGCTGAAGACTCAAGGGGTCCCTCTGGAGTTCTCCTTGTGTGCAGCTTTCCCTTCTCTGGTCCTCTGCTTTGTGAATTCAGCTGCCTTGGTCCCCTAGACTCTCACCTCCGTCTCCTTAACTGAGAGACACTGCCAGTCTGCCTAGGTTTTCTCTTCCCATCCTCTGGCTTAGAGACTTTCTCATCAGTAAGCTGGAGCAATCACAAGGCTTACTTTGTATGTTTTTCATCTCTCAGGGAATAGTCTCTTTTGTTGCCTTGTATTCAATGTCTTGCAAGCTCATATCTTTTGTCTTTGTTTGTTTTAGGTAGGAGGGAAAAATCAAATCCTTGTTACTCCATTTTGGTTAGAAGTGTAGCTTATAAAAAGACTTTTGCCACATAGTGGGGTCCCCAAACTGATGTCATGAGTAGCTATTAATTCCAGGGAAAGGTGAACCTTTCTCAGTGTCTGTATCTTAGACCTGAGGGATGCCAGATTGATTCTGATTGAGTCATGTGCACGTCTGTGGCAACCAAGGCAAGATTTATTGCCTTGACCTGGAAAGTAGTGCATTTCAATTGGGCGGTCTCCTGGGTCACAGCCACACTTCCACCCTGCTGTCCACTGTTAGGGTGGAGTACTGGAGCTGACAGTCCTGCTGTTACTATGAGAAGTGGGAACATGGTCGCCGCCCCAAGTGAGGGGAGACCAGGGAGATGAGCAATAGGGATTTTTCACACATGTGATAGAGAATGAGATAGTGAAAAATAGAGCAAACCTCTCTGTTGTAATTGAGTTTCAGAAACTCTTAAGATACCTTTAATTTAAGCTTCATTGAAACAACTTCAGCAGGGAGGTCTGAATTAACTATTTTCCTAACAGGAGTTACACTAGGTTTATAGGGTTTAGGGAAAAGGATCCAATAAAAGGTGAGAAAAGTATGGAGAAAAGAGAAAGAAATAAAGTATTCTCTACAAATGTACTGGGTTTGGTTTATGATCTATCATTATTTCTTAGGCTAGCTGTGGTTTTTTTTTTTTGATGCAGTTATTTAAATGTTGAAATCAGTAAATGCTTAGGGGATAGGATTTCACCTTGTAGCCTAAGAGATCCCTTTGTCTAGGTGTCAGGAAGCATGGCCTATACCCTTTCAGCAAAGCAGAGTTCAATGAAATGCCATACGAATTGGAGTCTGAGCTAAGCCCCAATAGTCTGTCTAAAAAGACTCCAGAACCTTTAGATCCACGTGATACACCAGAGCAGGATTACTTATGGTAAACCTGCATAAATACATGCCTACATAATTGTTTCTGGCTTCTTCTAGTGAAAAGCTGATCCTTCTTAAAAGAGTTGCTTATTTTTTATTTTATAATTCCTCCCAGATTTTCATTGACTCTCAGTGTTTCTTGTGAAATGTATAGTGAAGAGGAAAGAGCTTTGGACCAGGTGTCATAAAATCAACTCTTTGGTTTGCCTCTTAAGTAAGTGTGATATTAGGCCAGTTTCTAACCTCTAGCCTCTTAGCAAATCACCTTTCCAGTAGTCCTGTGCCTAAAATGGGAATTTGGTTTGTGAGGAGCTAGAAGCTGGGTTGGTTCAGTTAGCCTCAGGTTTTGGTACTATTAGCTTTGTAGATTAAAAAGTTTATGCTTGATATAGATTTCCAGAATATGTAAATGGTACAGCAAGGATTTTAGTTCTGTAGCAAAAAAACCTTATTGTTGGAATTAAATGTAAATCCCTGGTTTTTGGTGTCTTAAAGCGAAGGTCTGAGAGATAACAATGAAAAGCTTACTGAAGGTGGGAGGGCTGGATGGAAGATCTAGCCTGAGCACATCCCCCACCTGCCTGCGCTCTTTGGAGGTATCGGAAAACCACCACACAGGCTAATTGTTCCATTCGGCTCTGAACTTCTCCATTTCCAGGTGTAGGAAAGACGATGACTTAGAGACTGTTATTGCCTTCAAATATTTTAAAAACATGAAGTTATTTATAATGAATGACACTTTTTACTTTGGCACAAAATTGTGTTCTTTATTAGCAAAATAAAACAAATTCTTTGCTGAGGGTACAGAAATTTCTTAAGCAAAAATAATTGATCCTTAGTTATTGTAATTATTTGTCTATTTATAACTTTTCACTCAGCTCATTAGGTAATTTTATTTCCTGAGGTATTAATATTTTAAATTTATTTTTCATTGGTAGGGGCCTAATCTAATATTTTAAGTAATGAATCAGTTTTCAAGCACAATATTTTTCCTTATCTATTTTCTTTAACTGAAGCATATTTTTGAGAAAAAATTAAATTTATCTTTTTGGAACAGGGTCATTATCGTTATTGTGATGCTCTTTCTATGCTGGGGGAATATGACTGGGCCCTGCAAGCAAACATTAAAGCTCAAAAACTCTGTAAAAATGACCCTGAGGGAATCAAGGATCTAATTCAGCAGCATGTAAAGTTACAAAAACAAATAGAAGACCTGCAAGGTATTTCACCTAAGATTCTTTTGGTTACAGTCGAATCCCTTTCAAACTTTGGAACGTGGGTTTCTTGGATTAATGGAGGACCACAAATCAATCCTCAGATAATTTATCCTTATTTTATCATGTTCTCTTGGTCATGGCACTTGGGTTTTTCATTTCTATCTGTGTAGAGTTACATATTATCCATTAGATAATTATAAATGATTTGTACTTTTTATTTGAAACAGACAGCAACCAAGTTGTTATTATTTATTCTTCTGTAGAAAAAAAATCCCTTTCAGAAATTTTGAATAAATGCTTTTTGAAACAAAAGTATTTAAAAATACTTCCTTCATGGCTAAAGTAATTAGCTCAAGAAAAGACCCTTCAGTAGAGCTGCTTGATATTTCTGCACTGTTTGTGCTAATTCTATAGTGTGCTGAACATATATATACACTTGTGTTTTTTAATATATAGCAGAAATTGACTGTACAGGCTAGGAATTGTAGATTTTCATTCTGCCCTTGTTTTCTAAGTCTTTTGCTTTCTCCAATGGCTAAAAGTCCCTTAGTCTACATTTTTAGTGTACGAGTCTTTCCTGCTTTTTCTTCTTTGGGTCGTACGAAGCTGAGCTGAACAGCTCTGTTTGACCAGCATGTATATTTATATGTAACAGGATTATATAATAAGATTGTGAGCTCCTTGAAGACAGGCACCACCTCTGATTCAGATTTACATATTGCTGTCATCTTGTCAGTGATCACATGTGATGGAATGTCATACCGGGTTTGTGTAACATTTTGTTGACACCATCCTAAAACTAAAGACATCTAGAAATGTAAAATTGCTTAGGTTTACTTTTCAGTTTTCTAAATTTGATGTTCCTTACTATCAATCAGCTTAAAGGAAATTTGAAAATCTTTTAAAGTCTGTGTTGCCAATCCACTGATTACTATGTGTGTGTGTGTGTGTGATTGACTTTTATAGGTCGAACAGCAAATAAGAATCCAATTAAAGCCTTTTACGAAAACAGGTAAGCTAATAAATAGCAGGTCAGTAACTGCTACTAGGAATGGCTTTGCCCCATGAATTTAAGAATCATTTATGTTTGACGCTTTAGGAGCTAATAGCAACCACACTAAAGTTGGAGGTGGAAAGGAGAGAGGTGGTATTTTAAGTGTCTGTGTTATCAGGTGACCTGTAAGTTGTTATTTTACTGTTTTACTGAATCGTGTAGATACAAGCTCAGTAGCCTAATCCTGTGGGAAACGAGAAGTGAAATGTTAACTGAACGGTACTATGTTTGAATAATCCCAGTTTGGCCATGAAGGTTCTGGCAGCAGAGAGCTGGGACACAGCCTATGCCCTGTGTCCTTCACCTCTGTCTTAGAAACATCTATGGCAAAAATCACAATTACTTTTGTACCAACCTAATACTTCCAGCTTCCTGGTGTCGTTCAAAGGCTAAGATACTTCCTATTAGAAATAGGCAACAGATAGACTTGAGTATGCTCACAAGAAAACAGCAGCCAGGGTTCTACCTTTGCTCATTTGGCAATTAAAACAGGTTAAATGTTTTTCTGCATGCTTGTTCAGATGTCTGGGATATTGAAGCTGCTAATTCTGTAGCATGCTGAACATGTAGACATAAAGAAATTGGCTATGGAGGCTTTGAATTTAATTTATCCTAATTTAACTTAAATTAGGATATTTAAATTTAACACAAGAACATAGGTATTTATTTATTATTTTTTTGAGATGGAGTCTCGCCCTGTCAACCAGGCTGGAGTGCAGTGGTGTGATCTTGGCTCACTGCAACCTCCACCGCCAGGGCTCAAGCAGTTCTCCTGCCTCAGCCTCTTGAGTAGCTGGGAATATAGGCACCCGCCGCCATACCCAGCTAATTTTTGTATTTTTAGTAGAGATGGTGTTTCACCATGTTAGTCAGGCTGGTAGGCTGGTCCTGAACCCCTGACGTCAAGTGATCTGCCCACCTCAGCCTCCAAAAGTGCTGAGATTACAGGAGTGAGCCACTGTACCCAGCTTGAGCCACTGGGCCTGGCTGGTATTTAAATGTTAGAACCCAGAATGCTTTCTTTTGAACTGTTCTTTTTTTTTTTTTTTTTTGAGACAGTTTCCTTCTGTCACCCAGGCTGGAGTGCAGTGGCACAATCTTGGCTCACTGCAACCTCCGCCTACTGGGTTCAAGCAGTTCTCCTGCCTCAGCCTCCCCAGTGGCTGGGATTACAGGTGTATGCCACCACACCTGGCTAATTTTTGTATTTTTAGTAGAGACAGGGTTTCACCACATTGGCCAGGCTGGTCTTGAACTCCTGACCTCAGGTGATCCACCTGCCCTGGACTCCCAAAGTGCTGGAATTATAGGTGTGAGCCACCATGCCCAGCCCTTGAGCTATTCTTTATTTTTTTGAGTTTAATACCAAATTTATAATAATGTTTATGTATAAAGCTCCATCTCAGAGGTAGAAAATCTTTTCAAGGAAAAAGGCTGTGATTGCTGCAACCTGTTCATTCGAAGGATAAGTTTTTAAAAATGTATAATAATTCATTTCTTTTTCCCCCACTTAGGGCCTATATACCTAGGAGTTTATCAGGACCTATATTTAGTACTTCACTTAACTTTGTGGAGAAGGAAAGAGATTTCAGAAAAATTAATCACAAAATGGCGAATGGTGGTAATCAGAATCCAAAGGTAAGCTCCATTGAAAACTACAGTTTTTTTCAAGTATAGATTGTCTCATATTTTTACAGTAATATTTTGGTTATAATGGAAACCAAATTTTTGGCGATTTGAACACTTTTTGCCTATTGCTACCAAAAGAATGATCTCTTTTTAATAAATAATCTGAATATCTCATACAACTATGTAAAGATAATATTTAAAAGTCACAGAATTTCTTTTGAGATCACATTTGTGTCTTTTCAAAATATTTAAAAAAATAACCGTTTTGCCACGTCTTCGTATGTTCTCTCTTCGCTTGTTGGAAAAGTCCCCTTGTTGATAATACTGAAAATTTCCAAGAGACTTTGTTCAGTTAGGGAGAGGAGTATAAGGAGAGATGTGATGGTGTTAATTCAGACATTACTGAACAATTGTCACATCAGACATCATGCTGGGCATCAGAAATAGAATTGTCATTCAATAATTTGTCATTGCATATCATGATGCTCATCATTAGTTATCATTTTGTTTGCCTGTTCATACATTTAGGCTTAATAACCAGTTGCATATTTTAGGTGTTTGGGTGAATTCTATCCTATTATGTTCTGAATTCTTTTATATAGCTCTTGAATTCTTCATGGCTGTGTTTTTGTGGTTTTTTTTTGAGTCTCACTGTTTTTGTTTTCATGGGCAGGTGGTGGATGAGGCAATGAAGGTAGATGATTGTGACTGTCATCCTGAATTTTCACCACCACCAAGTGAGTATTGTTTTTATATCAACTGTTGTCAAGTTAATAAACTTGCCCAGTCTCCTAAACTTTTATGCCCTAAAATTTGCACAAGCCTTGCTTATATCCACTCTTGTTCTCCTTTTATTTTGTAATGCTTCCATGTTAAGAAAATGTTGAATATTTATTTGAAATCAGTGCTCAGTCTTTTCATATTATTTAGTAAATGTAATTTTGGATAGTCAAATAAAAGGAATGGAAAAGATGAAGTACATAGCTCTTTTTGGTCTGCTGCTTAATTTTTTTAGGCTGTTGTTTCTCATTATTGAAAATTTATTATTGCCTCCCCTCCTCCCACCCCCTAGGAGTCTGTTTAGACCTTTTAAAATCTAATTGTTCTCTCCCATAAAATTTTAGTAGCTGTTTATGTACCATATGTGCATCTGTGCTTTATGTATAAAAATAATTAGATTTTGTTTCCCAATAACTAATTTTCACCCTATTCAGGGTGATAGCACCCATGTTGAGAATGGCTGCTGCTATAACAAAAATACCGTAAACTGGTTAGCTTGTAAGCAATAAGCATTTATTTCTCACATTTCCAGAAGCTGGGAAATTCATCATCATGATGTCAACAGATTCGATGTCTGCTGAGGGTCCTCTTCCTGGTTCACCAATGGCTGTCTTTTTGCGGTGACCTCATATAGTAAAAGGAGCAAGACAGCCCTCTGGGGTCTCTCTCTTTTTTTTTTTGAGACAGAGTCTTGCTCTGTTACCCAGGCTGGAGTGCAGTGGCATGATCTGGGCTCATTGCAACCTCTGCCTCCTGGGTTCAAGTGATTCTCATGCCTCAACCTCCTGAGTAGCTGGGATTACATGTAGGCATGCACCACCATGCCTGTTTAGTTTTTCTATTTTTAGTAGAGACAGAGTTTTGCCATGCTGGCCAGGCTGGTCTCAAAATCTTGGCCTCAAGCAATCCTCACACCTTGACCTCCCAAAGTGCTGGGATTGCAGGCGTGACACACCACCCTTGGCCTGGGGTTCTTCTCATAAGGGCACTAATCCCATTCATGAGGGATCGGCCTCATGACCTAGTTACCTCCCAAAGGTTCCACCTCCTATCACCATTGCCTTGAGGATTTGGTTTTCAACATGTGAATCTTGTGGGGGACACAGATGTCCAAACTATAACGGTGCTGTAGGCTAAGTCTCATTTGTTTTAAGTTGTGTGTGCTCAGTTCATGTATTTATTTACATATATAGCAAACATAGGCACTGCAGAGCCTCATTACTTGGCATCATTTGGAGGTGAAGGTTCTGGAGAAGTGAATATTTTTGTGCTTCATTTATTTCTGAATTTTTCTTAATGCCACCAGAGTTTGATGAAAATCTTTCTAAAGTATATTACATGCTTCCCTGTCTTTTAAAATGGAATTTAGGAAAATACAGGTTTTCTTGATGGCTTAAGGTTGTGGTCACACCCAACAGTTACTCACCTCAAGCTTGGTAGTGTTCCTCCCAGGATTCTTGAGGTGAGATTATTGATTTTTTTAGTTAGTGATCTCTTTTCCTTTCTCTTTTTTTTAGGTGATTGGTTTTCCTTTCCATGTTTTTGCTTCTAGCAACCATTTGTATTTTTTGTGACCTGCAGCGCCATGTTCGCTTGGGCTCAGTTAGTTCCACAGATGCAGCTACTTTGTACTGATCATTTCCGTTTGGTTAGCACATTAGTGTAATTCCAAGGCCACAGAATGGAAATCAAACTAGGATTCTTCTACCTTTCCAAAAGCTACTTTTGTTTTCTGAGGCCACCAAAGCCCAGGCTCTCATTCCCTCCTTATTACAACTTGGCTCTGACTTGTCTCTGTGCCCTCCCCTTAAACCTTCATTAGATGCACCCTGCTTCTCCTGCCACACCAGCTCTTTTGCACAGCTCTGAGCATGGCTTTCCCTGCCCAAAAATATGCAATGGTTTCCTACTCCTGCCAGCAGAATAAAGCTGGGCACACAGAGCTGGATCTGAAGCTAAGGTTCTGTAAACACTCACCCCAGCTTGCCTTAGCAGCCCATTTCCAGGCCTCCACCCTTTTTGAGTTCTTGAAATCACACAGGTTTACTTAGTGCTTCTGAAATTAACTCCACTCTTGGGTTCAGGCCATTCTATCCAAATCGTACTTGTTCCTCAAAACCAAATACAAATGATATATCCTCACTAACATTTTCCCCAACCACTCCAGCTTAAGAGATTTTTCCTATTTGTGAGTTGGGAGAGATGCTACTGACTATGGAATTAATATGTCAATAACAACACAGTATTTTCTTTCATAAGGATATTTGTTGTTTAACTACTGAAGTGGTATGTCTTTTCACTCCATCTGATTGTAAACTATCTGAGAACAGGAGCTATCTCCTGTATCTCTCTGTATCTATGGTAGACCTAAGTCACAATCACTATTATAATTGATCTTTAATAATTTATTATATATCATACATAGAAAAACAGCAGCAGCAGCAGCTTCTTTTTTGGCTCACCCGTTTGTAGTTACACTCACGTATCATATTGCTGCTTCTGTTTTCTTACTCCAATTTATATTTTAAAAATAGTTTTAATCTCAGGCTTGTGGATTTTTATGTACGGATTTCAGGAACAAATGCGTTTGTGTTCACAGGTCAGCCTCCAAAACATAAAGGAAAACAAAAGTCTCGAAACAATGAATCAGAGAAGTTCAGGTATGTGTTTTCTCTAAGGTATGTTTTTTTTTCCCCTAGTGTATTCTTCCCAAGTAAAAGGGAAAAAAAATTGATTTTCAAGTGTTAGCTACTTTAGTGTGTGTGTTATGATGAGTAAGTACTAAAATCCCCTTCAAATATTGAAAGCATATCCTTAGGAAAGGATACTTTTTGGCTAAATGATTATTAATCCTGTATATTAATATATTGACTTCTGAAAGTCATACAATATGAAATATGTCCATATTAATGTTTTAAATTCTAGAATATGTATTCTAAAAGGAAAAAGCATTCAGAGAGATATCAGGTGAACATGAAATCTCCTTTCCTGCTCACCTCATTTTACCTCTCCTGGAGTCCCTTCTCTGGGGCTTCCTCCAGGAATGCGCTCTTAACAGTTTCATGACTACTGGGAAACTTACTCTGCATATACAGACATGGGTATGCATATTTCAGATGCCTTTTGAGTAATTACCGTTAGAGGAAAATACTTCCTAATGAATTCTGACTACTTCTAAACAGAATTCTACCAAACATCCTCATGAAAATTAATAGTAATTAATTGCCTCCTATCTTTTTTTTTTTTTTTTTTGGAGATAGGGAATTGCTCTGTCACGCAGGCTGGAGTGCAGTGGTGTGACCATAGCCTACTGTAGCCTTGAACTCCTGGGCCCAAGTGATTCTTCTGCCTCAGCGCCACAAGTAGCGAGGACTACTACTGCTACCATGGTGCATGTCACCATGCCTGGATAATTAAAACAAAATTTTTTTAGAGACAGGGTCTTGCTTTGTTGCCCAGGCTGGTCTTGAACTCCTAGCCTCAAGTGATCCTTCTGCCTTGGCCTCCCAGAGCGCTGGGATTGCAGGCATGTGCCTGGCCTTGCCTCCTGTCTTTATAGTTATACCCCATTGCCAACAAGTTATAAATTTATTACAAAGTGAAATTGTAAATCTTTTAATACAGAATTTCATGAAGTGAATGAAAGTGATATTGGAGAAAGAGCAAAGCCATGTCTGCCACAATACACTGGTTTTCAGTTTCTTCTCCTTCATTTCTTAATCTGAATCCATGATAGGTGCTTCAGGGGAAATAATTTGAATATGAGAACACTAAAAAAAAATCAGCGAAGTCTCTCTCTTTTTTTTTTTTTATGACCACTTTTGGATGCTGCTACAAAAATTAAATACAAAGCAAGGATATAGCATATTATTATGCGATCCTGTTATTGATAGAAAAATCATGAGTCTTCTTCCCTGCCTTCCCCTTTATTCCTAAGGAAACCTGATCTTAATATATGGTTACTTTTTCAATACAGAGTTGTAATTTTAAGCTGTTTTATTAAAGATAAATTTATTTTTCTAATATTTTGTTTCACTTTTCAAACTGACCATTCCTTATTTGATAATATCTACCAGATGGGGCTCTTTTATCATTAAATAGGATAGCCACATAAAACACTTAGAGCCCTGGAACATAGTAAATCATCAGTATACTTCAACTCTCATTACTGTTATCACCATCATTTTCATTGTTACTAGAATGACTCTGGCCTACAGCTTGCTTTTTACCTTTTACAAAATATCTTGTATTTCTTCCCATGTTCAGAACACAGAGATCTCCATTCTTCATTTTGATGGCTGTGTAATATTTTGTAATATAGCTGTATCTCCCATCTTTGTGCATTTAGGCCCTTAGTTCCTCTTTTCCTTCCTCACTTTTTTTCCCTCTCTCCATCTCTCCCTTGCTTTCTTCTTTCTTTCCTTTGAGAGGGATAAATCAGACAATACTTTAAACATCCTTGCACATGCACCTTTGTGCACCTGTTTAATGTACAATAAGTACATTGTAAATAAGGTGTAGAAGTTGTTTCTGTAGTGGGATTGCTGTATAAAAGGAGATGCATAATTTTAACTTTGGCAAGTATTGCCAAATTCTTCTCCCAGAAAATGAGCACTGTTCACACTCCTACGAGAGGGTGTGCTATAATAAAAAATATATATATTTGGTATTTGTCCCAGTTCTTGGTACAGAGCTCCCAGAACCCATGGAATTTCCTGAATGATAGGAGTATATTTTGTTACTCATCATGAGCCCCTTTCTGTGAACTTGAGTTTATGCTAATGAGGTGACTCAAGGTAGTGACCCAGATAGTTCAGGAAGTCTAGTCACCAGAAAGACCAAGCACGTGATTAGATGGTTAAGACTTCCAGCCCCATACTTGACTTCCAAGGAGGGGAGGGGAGCTGGAAATTGAGTTTAGTCACCAGTGGCCAGTGGTTTAGTCAATTGTACCTACATGCCAACATAATACAACCTTAGTAAAACCCTTAAAAGAGGGCTTGGGGAGCTCCTGGGTTGGCAAACACATTGATGTGCTGGGAAAGTGGCATGCCCAAGGGGAGCATGAAGCTCCTCGAACCCCCTACCTTCCTGTGCATCTCTTCCACTTGGCTGTTTGTGAGTTGTATCCTTTATAATAAAATTGGAAATAGTAAGTAAAGCACTTCCATGAGTTCCATGTGTTTTTCTAGTGAGCCTGAAGAGGGGATCATGGAAACTCTCTAGTTTGTAGTCAGCAGGGCAGAAGTGTGGGTAACCTGTGCGCCCCACTTGAGCTGAAGTGAGGGAAGTCTTGTGGAACTGACCCTTTACCCTGCAAGGTCTGAGAGTTAGTATCAGAACTAAATTGCATTACTGCTTACTCATTTTGTGTTGGGACAGTTGAATTGATATGGAAAAATGACAATATTTTTGTATTGGGAAAAAATCCACACATTTGATGTCAGAAGTGCTTTCAGAAAACTCCACATCAAGTACCAGTTTTCCTTACTCTCACCAACTTAGGGAGTCAAACTTTCCAAAACGCTTACATCTTATTACTCGATTTTCCCATCATATTGAGCATCTTTGCACTGTTTATTGGGCACACTTCTTGTTTTAGGACCATGTTGTTACTAATGACTGCAGATTTGTAATACCTTTTAATAATCAAGGCAAATACCACTGAATGTTTCTCTTTTTTCAAAAGCTGTTTTTCTATATCATCTTCATAATCAATTGATCTGGCTTCCCTCCACCTCTGATTTTATAGGAATGTTTATTGAGATTGCATTGGATTTAGAGATTTCTAATGGAAACATTGCCAAAATGCCAGTTCTCCCCTGCAAAGAATGGCCAACTTGTATGGTTCACCATTTACTCTGTATTTTAAATGGCGTTCAGTGAATACATCTTTTTTTCTGTCTGTCACAATGGAAGGATGAGAGTAAACTAATATTCAGATTCTATATTTTTCTTTTCTTTCTTTTTTTTTTTTTTTTGTTTTTTTGTTTTTTTGAGATGGCATCTCGCTCTGTTGCCCGGGCTGGAGTGCAGTGATGTGATCTTGGCTCACTGCAGCCTCTGGCTCCTGGGTTCAAGCAGTTCTGCTGCCTCAGCCTCCTGAGTATCTGGGATTACAGGCACCTGCCACCACGCCCAGCTAATTTTTGTATTTTTAGCAGAGATGGGGTTTTACCACATTGGTCAGGCTGGTCTCAAATGGCCTCCCAAAGTCCTGGGATTATAGGTGTGAGCCACTATGCCCAGCCCTATTTTTTCTTTATATGAGTAGAACTGTTTCATTTTAAAATTATTGAAAACAAATGCTTTTTTTCTTTTAGTTCTAGTTCACAATTGACTTTACCAGCAGATTTGAAGAACATCTTGGAGAAACAATTTTCTAAATCTTCCAGAGCTGCACACCAGGTAATGGAGAAGCTTTTCCAATGGAAAAAGCAAAACTCTTTGAATGAAACATTGTTCACATGAATAAAATTATAATCATGTACATCTCTAAGATTTATTTTTTAATATAATTACTGTATTGCAGTTTTGTAGAGATGGGGTCTTACTATGCTGTCTAGGTTGGTTTCAATCTCCTGGCCTCAAGCAGTCCTCCCAAAGTTTTGGGATTTCAGGTGTGAGCCATCACACCCAGATGTTACAGACATATAATTTAATATATATGACTGCTAAGAATCCAGTCTATCATTAATTTAAATATTAACTTGATAATTATGCTAGCTAGAGGTTTAACTAATAATTAACTCTGTTGAATTATTTGTTTCTCAAAGAGTTAATAGTAATATTAACTAAATATTTTTAAAAGATTTAAATAATTTAAAAATATTTAAACACAGTTTCATTATACCTACTCTAAAGTCATGCAAGAGCAAACTTTTATTCTTTAAATGATTTAACTTAATCAGATAATGTTGTATATAAAATTTTTTTATGTTGCTTCGTGATGGAAAACATACATTAACATGGAATAGAATACTTGTTTCAAGACGTGGTTAGGTATACATAACAGATATTTTACAAAGAACTAGAATAGACTTCTAATTATTTGCTTAAAAGCATTTTTGAGAATTTCTTACAGTTGGAGATTTTAAATTACATCTTTTTACATTGATTTTTACTGACTCTAAAAACCATGAAATACATAGAAGACAGCCTGTGAAGATGAAAAGACTATCTAAATAAATATGATTGTTGTTTTTGAGCCTCTGTTTGTTCATTCAACACAGTTTGATTGAGGCTCTCTCCATATGCTGAGGACTAAGAAAGACTGGGTGTGCAGTGATGTGATTTTGGCCTGCTCTGCTGGAGCTTTCAGAATAGATCATTTATGTTGCATTGGGGGAAGTGACTTCCAATGAACGTGAGGCTGTATGGATCTGATTTCTAGACTGATAAAGAAAGCTGGGTATGGTGGCATGTGTCTGCAGTCCCAGCTCCTCAGGAGGCTGAAGTGAGAGGATTAGCCACTGCACTCCAGCCTGAGCACATAGTAATTTATTATTATTATTTTTTTTTTTTTTCGAGACGGAGTTTCCCTCTTGTAACCCAGGCTGGAGTGCAATGGCACGATCTTGGCTCACCGCAACCTCCGCCTCCTGGGTTCAGGCAATTCTCCTGCCTCAGCCTCCTGAGTAGCTGGGATTACAGGCACGCACCACCATGCCCAGCTAATTTTTGTATTTTTGGTAGAGACGGGGTTTCACCATGTTGACCAGGATGGTCTCGATCTCTTGACCTTGTGATCCACCCGCCTCGGCCTCCCAAAGTGCTGGGATTACAGGCTTGAGCCACCGCGCCCGGTTTGTTTTCTTTTTTAAGCCTCTCACTAGTTTGGGTGTCCTGTCTCTTTTAAAGAAGAAAAAAGAAAAAGAATGAGAACGAGATTAAAATTGAATGAGTTTATGCAAGGCTAATAATAATATAGGGATAGCACATCATCATCTGTAACTTGAAGTTCATATCTTAAAACAAGTATGGCTGTCATTGAGCTTTTGTTTTTTGTGAGAGCTGCCCTTTTCCATGCATATTCTGGGGAGCGTTTTGCCAGACTTTGATTCACATGATTCAAAAGCCAGCAGAAGGCTTTTGTTTATGGGTAACCAAACTGCTTTTTCCTCTGTGATTTGTGCAGTGAGGTCTCCTTTTGAATCTTCATTATTAGGAACGGCAAGGAATACAACATACGTATTTGCATTTGTTGCCCCCTTGAATGGTGCACGCATGTATGGCAAGGAGTGAGGAGATTTTAGACTTAATGTCTAGCCTTGCCTCTCCAATCTTTATGGAACTTTGGTGACTTACAGCTATTCCCATGTCACTAAAATATGAATTCAAATTATAATGCGTGTGCACATAAGTATTCGAGTTAGGAAGTTTTTCTCACTTTATTTAAGGGTACATAATAGCAATTTTGTTTTTATTTTTTATTTCTTATGTTCTTCCTTTTGCATTTAACTTATTATTATCTGTCCCAGTATTTTTATCTAGTTATATTCAAGTATATGTTAAGCAAGAGTATAGTTAACAATTGAAATATTTCTTTCTTTCTTAGAATTAAGGTTTGTTTCAGAGCAGGATGGCGGTTGTTAAAAATCTGGTAGTCATCAGTACATTCATTGCATATTCTTATGCATCTCATTGTTCTACTTCCAATCAAACAATTTACTTATTTAAGTGATAGCTTGTGTTTTTCATATATATTGTTAACACTTAAAAATACTGTCTTGTTTAGTCTGGAAAGCAAGTGAGGCTTTGCACCATGTAGTGTAAAAGGAACCACCTTTGTCACAGGCAACAGGGGAAGTGTTGCAATTAATATGGTAAAACAATACCTTTTCATTTTCACTTTAGAAGTGTGGTGCTGAGAAAGGAATATGATGGGTAAGGGATAGTTTGGGTATTGATTTAAACATTTTCTCATTAGTTATAAAGTGTTACTATGAACTTGGCATCTTAAGTTTTAAATTAGAAATGTGTACATTTGGGTTATTGAAATAGAATTTCTTTTTTCTAGGATTTTGCTAATATAATGAAAATGCTGAGGAGCTTAATTCAAGATGGCTATACAGCTTTATTGGAGCAGCGATGCCGCAGTGCCGCACAGGCCTTTACAGAGTTACTGAACGGTTTAGATCCTCAAAAAATAAAGGTAAATTTTCCGTATCATAACTTGTTTATCAATGCTAATGTGCCTCAGATGAATGCAGAAGAGAAACAAGGCTTTAACTCATTGTAGTAATATTCCTAAGACCTTGCTGAGATTGGCTTCAGGTTATGGGAAGCAGGTAGTGCTCCAGTTCAGACTTCATGAATATGTTCAATACACGATCCATGTTTATGCTTTCTCCTTGACCATAGTTTAGGGTCATTAGAACTGGCTTTTTCTCTAAATAAAGGATTTCAACTCACTTTAGTCACATCTTTTCATCCAGGAAGAAGGTACAGGCACACCTCATTTCATTATGCTTTGCTTCATTGCACTTTGCAGACAATGCATTTTTTACATATTGAAGATTCATGGCAATCCTGCGTCAAGCAAGTCTGTTGATTCCATTTTTCCGAAAGCATGTGCTCACCTCATGTCTCTGTGTCACATTTTGGTAATTCTCACAACATGTCAAACTTTTTTATTATCATTATTACTGTATCTGTGATTAGTGATCTTCGATGTTACTATTGTAATTGTTTTTAGGGCACTACAACCTGTGCCTGTGTAAGAAGGGAACTTAATAAATGGTGTGTGTCCAGTTAGAATGGCGATCGTTAAAAAATCAGGAGACAACAGATGCTGGAGAGGATGTGAAGAAATAGAAATGCTTTTACACTGTTGGTGGGAGTGCAAATTAATTTAACCATTGTGGAAGACAGTTTGGTGATTCCTCAAGGATCTAGAAATAGAAATACCATTTGACCCAGCAATCCCATTACTGGGTATATACCCAAAGGATTATAAATCATTCTATTATAAAGACACATGCACAGGTATGTTTATTGCAGCACTGTTCACAATAGCAAAGACTTGGAACCAACCCAAGTGCCCATCAATGATAAGAGTGGATAAAGAAAACATGGCACATATACACTGTGGAATACTATGCAGCCATAAAAAAGGATGAGTTCATGTCCTTTGCAGGGTTATGTTTGAAACTGGAAACCATCATTCTCAGCAAACTGACACAAGAACTGAAAACCAAACACTATATGTTCTCACTCATAAGTGAGTGTTGAATGATGAGAACACATGGGACACAGAGAGGGGAACATCACACACCGGGGCCTGGGGGTTGGGGAACTAGGGGAGGAATAGCAGGGGGTGGGAGGATTGGGGAGGGATAACATTAGGAGAAATACCTAATGTAGATGACGAGGCGATGGATACAGCAAACCACCACCATTACATGTGTATACCTGTGTAACAAACCTGCACGATCTGCACAGGTACCCTAGAGCTTAAAGTATAATAAAGAAGCAACAGATGTACATGGATGAATAAATATCTATTTACAGCTTGAGAATGAACATTAAAAAAATAAAATAAATGGTGTGTGTGTGTTCTGAGTGCTCTGCCAACCATCCGTTGTTTCCACCTCCTTCTATAAGTCTCCATGTTCCCTCAGACACGATATTTAAATTAGGCCAGTTAATGACCCTACAATGGCCTCTAAGTAGTCAAGTGAAAGGAAGACTGTATGTCTCTCACTTTACATCAAAAAGTAGAATGATGAAGCTTCATGGGGAAGGCATGTTGAAAGCCAAGATAGGCAGAAAGCTAGTCCTCTTGTGCCAAATAGCCAAATTGTGAATGCAAAGGACAAGTTTTTGAAGGAAATTAAAAGTGCTACTTCAGTGAACACATAAATGACAAGAAGGTGAAACAACTTTCTTGCCAATGTGGAGAGTCTTAGTGGTCTGGATAGAAGTTCAAACCAGCCACAACATTCCCTTAAGCCAGAGCCTAATCCAGAGCAAGGCCCTAACGCTTCTATTCTGTGAAGGCTGAGAGAGGTTGGGAAGCTGCAGAAGAAAAGTTTGAATCTAGCAGAAGTTGGTTCATGAGATTTAAGGAAAGAAGCCGATTCCGTAACGTGAAAAGTGCAAGATGAAGCAGCAAGTGCTGATGGAGAAGCTGCAGCAAGTTACCGAGATCTAGCGAAGATCATTGATGAAGGTGGCTACACTAAACAACAGATTGTCGATGGAGACAAAAAGTTGGAAGAAGATGCCATCTAGGACTTTCATAGCTAGAGAGAAGTCAATGTCTGATTTCAAAGCTTCAAAGGACAGCTCATTACTCATTAGGGGCCGATACAGCTGGTGACTTAAGTTGAAGCCAGTGCTCATTTACGTTCCAAAAATCCTCAGGCCCTTAAGAATTATGCTAATTCATTCTGCCTAGAGCTCTAGAAATGGAACAAAAAGCATGAATGACAGCACATCTGCTTATAGCATGGTTTACTAAGTACTTTAAGCCCACTGTTGAGACCTACTGCTCAGAATAAAAGATTCCTTGCAAAATACTACTGCTCATTGACAATGCACCTGATTGCCCAAGAAATCTGATATACATGTACAAGGAGATAAGTGTTGTTTTCATGCCCACGAACACAATATCTATTATGTAGCCTATGATCAAAGAGTTATTTTGACTTTCAATTCTTATTATTTAAGAAACATATTTTATAAGGCTATAGCTGCCTTAGTGATTCCTCTGTTGGATCTGGGCAAAGTAAATTGAAAACCTTCTGGAAAGGATCACCACTCTAGATACCACTAAGAACATTCATGATGCATGGGAGAGATCAAAATATCAATATTAACAGGAGTCTGGAAGAAGTGAATTCCAGCCCTCATGGATGACTTTGAGGGGTTCAAGGCATTAGTGGCGGAAGTCACTGCAGATGTCGTGGAACAAGCAAGAGAACTAGAATTAGAAGTGGAGCCTGAAGATGTGACTGAATTGCTGCAATCTCTTGATAAAACTTGAAGGGATGAGAAGTTGCTTCGTACAGATGAACAAAAAAAGTCGTTGCTTGAAATGGAATCTACTCCTTTTGAAGATGCTGTGAATATTGTTGAAATAATAAACTTAGTTGATCAAGCAGTGGCAGGATTTGAGAGGATTCACTCCAATTTTGAAAGAGATTCTAGTATAGGTAAAATGCTGTCAAACAGCATCACATGTTACAGAGAAATCTTTTTTGAAAGTAAGAGTCAATCAGTACAACAGACTTCATTGTTGTCTGATTTTAAGAATGGCCACAGCCACCTTAATTTTCAGCAACCACCATCCTGAACAGTTAGCAGTCATCAATATCAAGGCAAGACCATCCACCAGCGAAAAGATTATGACTCACCAAAGCCTCAGATGATCATAAGTATTTGTAGCAATAAAGTTTTTTAAATTAAGGTGTGTACATTGTTTTATACATATAATGGTACTTCACACTTAATAGACTACAGTATCACTTAAACATAACTTTTATATGCAGTAGGAAACCCACAAGTTTGTGAGACTCACTTGATTGTGATATTTGCTTTATTGTGATGCTCTAGAACCGAGCCCACAGTATCTCTGAGGTATGCCTCTAATAGCTAAGTAAATGTCTTAATCTGTCACTAGTACCTCTTATATGCAAAATAATATGACTTTAATTAGAAATTATTCTAATCTATTGTGAACCATGCCTCAAGGAACTTTGAGACAGTTATTCTGTGTTTTAAATAGTGTATAATTGCTTTATTAGAACAAAAATCCCTTTTCTAATTTGATTTGGACAATCATATTGATTAGTGAGATTTTATGACAATCATTGATTAGTAAGATTGATTAGTGAGATTCTATTATACTTCTTTTTCTGTTGTGACTAGAAGGTTAGTATGATGCAAATGGAGCAGAATTATGTTCAGATTTTTAACTGAGGCATTTTTATTGACAGCAACTGAACCTGGCTATGATTAACTATGTCTTGGTTGTCTATGGACTTGCCGTTTCTCTCCTTGGAATAGGGCAGCCTGAGGTAAGATTTGTAACAGAGGTAATAAACAATTAAAATGATATTGACATATCTTATAATATTTTTCTCATTTTGACCCATTTCCTTCTCTGTACCTCTAATAATTTTGTCTGGAATATCTCAGTTTAATTTAGTTTGTGTTTTTAAAGAAAAGAAAAAGGCTTTGCCAGGCAATCATTGGGAATCCACTTTTTATTTGTATAAAAAGTAAAGAATGTAATGTATAGATAGATTTTGGAAATGTAATCTTGACGGAAAAGCAAGTTGGAGGACATAAACATTGTGATCCCACTTATATACAGTTTGGAAAACATAACAGTACTATGTACTGCTTATGAATACCTGTGCATATTGTAAAAAAGTGAAAAAATATAGATTATGTTTATATCAAATTTAAGATAATGGCTGCCCTTAGTGATGGCATGAGGGAATGGAGCTGGGGAGGCTTTGTGTTATGCTGTTTTCCTAGAAAAACAAAGGTAACAACAATAATGTTAGCATGTTAGCATAATGTTACCATCTCTTATTTATAGGTAGAAAGTACTTGGGTATTATATTATTTCTAGATTGCAGGCTTCCTATAACTGCATGTAGTCAGTGTATAGACATGAGCTCCCAGGATTGCCATTAGATATGCTCCTGCCTTGCTCTCCTGGAATGTTCACCTACCTATACTGTTCGGCATTATAACTTTGCTTTCTGAGGTTTTGAGTTTGCTATAAATGTTGAAATGCTCTAAAATGACCTAAAGTATAATAAATAATTTGGGTTCTGTTTTTCCCTGTCTAGATGAAGGTTTAACCCACCTTCCTAAGTAGTCTTTTACGTTCTGTTCTCTCCCAGAAGTCCACAGTGCCCAAGGTTTTTTTTTGTCACAGATTAATAACGTCTTCCATGAATGCTAATTCTATTTTCCAAGAGACAGTTGGAAACAGGACTTCAGGATTTTAATTTTATTCCTGACAGAATAATAATAAATATCATATTTTACCTTATTAGAATTGAAGAAATCATTTATTACATTTGTGATTTAATATAAAATAGTGAGTGATTTGGAAAAAAAAAAAAACAAGTGTTATAGTAGAACTTACATGTTTAAAAGAATTTCATCAGAGGACAGCCCTTGCTTCAGACATTTTTAGAATGCCTCCTTTGGAACTGATCTGAAAGCTTCATTTTATAGTGACATTTCTTTTTTTTCACTCACAGTAGGGTTACCAGTATTTCTTAGAACTAAATATCTTTTGGATGTTTTCTAAAAGCAAAATTCATTCAACTTTGGTTTTTCACTGTTGAGAATATTCAAAAAAGAATGTACTCTACGCTATGTTAAGTTTTTACTGAGGGACTGTTTTTAAGACAGAGCTTTCATCTGTCTTATGCTACAAAAGACTGTGACAACATCATTGGAATGGCATTCCTTCCAGGGGAGTAGCACTTAATAGGATCTATGTTACGGTGCATTTACACCAAAATTAGCCTTTCAAAAAGAATACACACAATTTTACTGTTTTTAGTATTAGCCAACACACATCAGGCCCTTAGTGTGTACTAGTAAATGCTTATAGGTTGATTGTCTGATGTGTGCAGCAGGATTGGTTTGGTTGTGTCTCTGAATAGCCATATGATTAGAAATTTATATAATTCCTAAGAAAATGAAACACAGAGGTATAATTTTGCCACAGGAATTTGGGGATATGCAGTTGCTATTTTAATATTAAAAAAAAAGAATCAGCCTTCAGATAAAACTTATTCCAGTATTTCTGTTTGTATGTAAGTGATCATTGTTTTCACTGCTATTGAAGGAATTATCTGAAGCTGAAAACCAGTTTAAGAGGATTATTGAACACTACCCCAATGAGGGACTTGACTGCCTGGCCTACTGCGGAATTGGAAAAGTATACTTGAAAAAAAACAGGTTAGTAGAAATGACACTACTTTAAGCTCTAGGCTGGTAACTCATTTAAAATCCAGTGTGATAGTGATCCATTTTCTGGAATTATTTTGATATCTCCTCTGTAGCACACTATCATAATTGTTGATTTACTTTGAGGACCTGGCGTTTCACTGTCAATATTAATTGTTAAAGCAAGGCTAGTCATTGTAGTTCTTGGTACTTCCTGATTTTGAATCTGATAAGAAAGTCAACAATACAATTATTTGACATTAAAGATTTAATAGTCTTTAGTATACATCATCTATAGGTAGTGAATGAATTGATATTAATTAATGCTTTTAAAATCTGATTACATAATTTTTTTGGTTTAATTATTTAAAAAAATCTGTATGAAGATGGTTTTAAATAGGTTTTAAAAAAGAGGTATATATGTGTTCAAAGACATCATGGGTCAGGAATAAAAATCTCTCCTCTGCACTCTACTGTAGTTGTCATCCTTACTCACAGTTTAATACTGAAGCTGTTCTCAGCCGGGTGTGGTGACTCACACCTGTAATCCCAGAATTTTGGGAGGCTGAGTTGGGTGGAACATCTGAGGTTAGGAGTTGAAGACAAGCCTGGACAACATGGTGAAACGCCGTCTCTACTAAAAATACAAAAATTAGCTGGGCGTGGTGGTGGACACTTGTAATCCCAGCTACTCGGGAGGCTGAGGCAAGAGAATTGCTGCCTCCCAAGTAGGGAGGTGGAGGTTGCAGTGAGCCGAGATCACACCACTGCACTCCAGCCAGGGCTACAAGAGCGAAACATTGTCTCAAAAAAAATTGAAGCTGTTCTCTAAATGCCTCATATCTCGTAGACTTGTCTCCCCAAATTTCAGTATGTCCCTGAGGGGACAGGATTATTTCTTGAGCTTTAAAAAAAGAAAATCTCTGTTTCTGACAATATAATGGTAGATAGGTTACTTTATAAAGAAATAATTGTTGACTGATTGAATATTATTCATAATTTTTAATTATTTTTCAATTTTCATTTAACTTGTTAGGGGAAATTTTATGAGATTTTGGCAGAACCCCCACCCTCTCATTATTAGAATGTGCCTGGAACCTCCTTTATAGATTTATTAAAATGAAAGAAAGTTTTTTTTTGGCTGGGTGTGGTGCCCCATGCCTGTAATCCCAGCACTTTGGGAGGCTGAGGCAAGTGGATCACTTGATGTCAGGAGTTCAAGACCAGCCTGACCAACATGGTGAAATCCTATCTCTACTAAAAATACAAAAATGAACTGGGCATGGTGGCGTGTGCCTGTAGTCCCAGCTACTTGAGAGGCCAGGGCAACATTAAAGATTTAATAGTCTTTAGTATACCTCATCTATAGATAGTGAATGAATTGATATAAATTAATGCTTTTAAAATCTGATTATATAATTTTTGGTTAAATAATTATTTTTAAAAATCTATATGAAGGTGGTTTTAGATAAGAGGTATATATGCCTTACCACTGTGTTGGTCAGGCAGGAGAATTGCTTGAACCCAGGAGGCGGAGGTTGCAGTGAGCTGAGATCACACCACTGCACTCCAGCCTAGGCAACAGAGCCACACTTCATCTCAAAAAAACAGAAAGTTTTTATTTTACTTCATGAAATTACTGTCTGTCTTAGCTGAGCTATATTAAGGATCAAGTAGATGCAGGGAAGGTAGAGACTTAGCAATCACCTTTACAGGAATAGCAAATGAAACTAATTTAAAAGTTTAGTATAGGGCCGGGCATGGTGGCTCACGCCTGTAGTCCCAGCACTTTGGGAGGCCAAGGTGGATGGATCACGAGGTCAAGAGATCAAGACCTTGTGGCCAACATGGTGAAACCCCGTCTCTACTAAAAATACAAAAAATTAGCCGGGCGTGGTGGCACATGCCTGTAATCCCAGCTACTTGGGTGGCTGAGGCAGGAGATTCGCTTGAACCCAGGAGGCGGAGGTTGCAGTGAACCAAGATTGTACCATTGCACTCCAGCCTGGGCAACAAGAGCAAAACTCCATCTCAAAAAAAAAAAAAAAAGTTTAGTATAGATTGTTTAGGATATACACCCATTTGATATAGTGGTTACATGCAAATTCACAAGGTCTAGAAAAATTACATAAATGTTTAGAATCATGGAGATTGTGCAAAACTAGAAAGTCTTTGCCATATTGAAAAGCGTTTACATTTAATTTCTGAATAATATGGTGTGGGACTAAATAGCTAATATGCTATTTTTTGATGTTGTAATATGCAGTTTCTGCTTTGAAATCCTATGATTTATAACTGTTTTATGGTAGATGGTGGTCTAGCTTTTCTGCACATGAACCTTACTATAGCTATAGGCAATATAAGTTTTTAAATTGGGAAGTCATTTCAGGATTGGAGAAGGCAAGAAACTCTTCTCCAGTGTGAAGAGAAGAATAAAGACTTAACATTTTTTTTTTTTCTTGAGACAGAGTTTTGCTCTTGTTGCCCAGGCTGGTGTGCAATGGCACAATCTTGGCTCACTGCAACGTCCGCCTCATGGAGGCGATTCTTCTACCTCAGCCTCCCAAGTAGCTGGGATTACAGGCATGCGTCACCACACTCAGCTAATTTTGTATTGTTTGTAGAGATAGGGTTTCACTATGTTGGTCAGGCTGGTTTTGAATTCCTGATCTCAGGTGATCCACCTGCCTTGGGCTCCCAAAGTGTTAAGATTTCAGGCATGGGCCACCACGCCCGGCCTTGGTTAACTTTATAATCCAGTACTTTAGTATTCTTTCATTGAATGGACTGTGGGAATCTATTGACATTATTTCTTCAACTCGTGAATCAAATCAGAAGTAAAACATTTTATATTTACAGTTAAAGCAATTTAAATACACATTTAAATATTTGCTTTGTTAAAATAATTCACTGTTTTACGGTTGAGAGAAAATATCCAGAATACATGATGCCTTAAATTTTTTTTTTAGCAGAGAAATTTTTACTACCATTGTCCTGATAGAGTCAAATTTTTAAAAATTCCACTATTTATAAATTATTAGCTGAAGTGGAGGTTTGCTATTTCTCTATAAGAATCTACTTTAATTAGTTTAATTAATGAAACAAATAAAGATTGAACAGATTATTCACTTTTCTGTTTTAATTGTCAGAAACTTAAAAAAACAAATATCAACTTTAAAAGAAATAGTGTACACCTACCACAATAAAGCCAATGTCCAGGATGAGTTGTTTAATGTCTATTACTTTTATAGCAAACAGCAATAGTGACTTTATTTTTTTTAAAGAAAATATAGGTTACATTGAATATTGCTGTTCAGTGATTCATCAACTGTATTCTTCCCAATAAGCTTGAGATCTTTGGTGACTTTTGTTGTGGGGATTGAAAATACCATTTTACATCTTTAATGCCTTTTTCATAATTACGACTTTAGATTTCTCGAAGCTCTCAATCACTTTGAGAAAGCAAGAACCTTGATTTATCGTCTTCCTGGAGTGTTAACTTGGCCCACAAGTAATGTGATTATTGAAGAGTCTCAGCCAGAAAAAATTAAGGTAACCATTTATTTTTGCAGAGTGTTTCTTATGTGAATGCCCATCTGCATTGACTGACTCAGGTATCAGGAGGCAGGGACGTCGGAGTACTCCATCCCCATCTCCCCCACATACATTTCCCCTCTACAGTCTAATGAGAATCTCTGACATTTATTGAATGTTTTCTATGAGCCAGTCACGTATCTTCCATTTATCATTACGCTTAATCCTTACAGAGCCCTGTGCAGTGGGGGTACTGTGATCATTTGCACTTTACAGATGAGAAAGGTTAAGTTTAGAGAGGTGAAATGATGCACTCAAGGTGAAACAGCAAGCAAATGATGATCCTGGGACTTGAGTCCAGGCATTCTGACTTTCGAGTATGCGTGATCATGCAGTATGCTGGACTTGGTTGTACTTAGAGAAGGTATAATATTGTTGTTTCATTATAAAGTTGTCACAGTTATTGAGATGGTACTTGAAGATTCAGAAAAATAGAAATTTAGTCTCATATCCAGAAGCATAAGGATGCTTTGCTTATTCTAGAAGGACTTACATGTGAATTCATTAAAATAGCTTTTACTTGTAGTGAACTCTCACATGTACTCAGAACTTGATTTTGGCTGAAGCTTTTAAAACCACAGAAGTCAACTCTTACCACTCAATAATAAAAGGACAAATAATCTAAGAGGTAGACAAAGGATCTGAATAGACATTTCTGCAAAGAAGATATACAAATGGCCAATTAGCACATAAAAAAATATTCAGCATCATTAACTGTCAGAGAAATACAAATCAAGACCACAGTGAGATACCATTTCACACTCACTAGGGATATGCGTAGACAATATTGGCAGGGATTTAGAAAAACAGGAACATTCAGACATTGCTGGTGGTGATGTACAATGATGCAGCTGCTTTCGAAAATAGTCTGGCAGTTCTTCAAACAGTTAAACATAGTTATCATGTCTCAGTGCATTTGTGTTGCTATAAAGGATTACCTGAGGCTGGGTGATTTATGAGGAAAAGTTAGCTTATGGTTCTGCAGGCTGTATAAGAAGCATGGTGACAGCATCTGCTTCTGGCGAGAGGCTCCAGCAGCTCCTACTCATGTCAGAAGGCGTAGGAGAGCCAGCCTGTAGAGATCATTTGGTTAGAGAAGGGGAAGTACCAGGCTCTTTTTAACAACCAACTCTCTAGGGAACTAATGAAGTGATAACTCACTCACCTCAGGGAGGGAATTAATCTATTCATGAGAGATTTGTCCCAACAAACACCTCTCACTCAAACACCTGACTCAAACACCTCCCACTATGCCTCCACCTCCAACACCAGGGATCAGATTTCAACATGTAGTTTGGAGGGTCAAACATTCAATATGCTAATATGGTATGCTAATACCAAATGACCCAGCAATTTCACTCGTAGGTGTGTACAAAGAAAGGAAAATATATTCTTATAAAAACTGGTACATGAATATTCATAGCAGTATTAGTTATAATAGCCCCAAATGGGAAACAGCCCAAGTGTTCATCAACTGATAAATGGGTAAATAAGTATTGGAACCTGGGAGGCTGAGGCCACAGTGAGCCATGATTGCGCCACTGCACTGCAGCCTGGGCAACAGAATGAGACTCTGCCTCAAAAACAGATGGCCAGGTGTGGTGGTTCATGCCTATAATCCCACCACTTTGGGAGGCCAAGGCAGGAGGATTGCTTGAGCTCCAGAGTTCAAGACATGCCTGGGCAACATGGCGAAACCCATCGATACAAAAATTAGCCAAACATGGTGGCACACACCTGGAGTCCCAGTTACTCAGGAGGCTGAGGTGGGAGGATCAGTTGAGCCCAGGAGGCAGAAGTTGCAGTGAGCTGAGGTTGTGCTGCCACTGCATTCCAACTTGAGTGACAGAGTGAGACTGTCTCAAAAAAAAAAAAAAAAAAAAAGTACTGATAACATGCGGGAGCATGGATGAACCTTGGAAACATTGTGCTAAGTAAGAGAAGCCAAACCCAAAGGGTTTGTGTGAATCCATTCATTTGAAATCTCCAGAACAGGCAAATCTGCATATGGTGACAGAGAGTAGACAAGTGCTTGCTGGGTCTAGGAGGTTAGGGGAAGATGAGGAGGGACTGCTAATGCGTATGGAGTTTCTTGTTGAAAATGTTCTAAATTTGGATTGTGTTGATAGCGGTACACCCTGTGAATATGCTAAAAACCACTGAACTGTACACTTTATTTGAATTATATAGTGTGTTAATTGTATCTCAGCAAAACTGTTGTAAAAAATAAAACACAGAGATTCTTGGATTTTCCTCTCTTCATACAAGATTGGGATGGAGGCACAGGAGCTGTTGATAACAAAAGCCAGCCCTGGAAGCATGGCATGAACCTCTTGTGGGCTTCATTAGCAATGGAATAATTCTCCAGGGAGTCCACAACCAACAGTGGCAGAGATGCAAGGAGGAAGATGAATGGGAGTGTTAGGATCCTGGATGAGGTGCTGTTGGGCAAGAGGAGTGTGGTAAAGTCCTCAGGATTACCCTAAGGGTTATTCCGTTTTACTTGACTTCCTCTTAATGCTTATGGGAGATTTCTGAGAGCTGTAAATTTTAAAATGAGATTTGATGATTGTAACAGGACAAAATTTTGATTCTGTCAAAATTCTGAAAATTTTGTTCAGTTCTCTTTTTAAATGTCTCCTATGTCTCTGTATCAGCCTTCATTTTTAAAGGAAAAACTTTAAAAGTTGTATGTAGTTTGCTGTTGGTGAAAAAATTTAGTCATTCCTATGCGGAAAATATTTTGATGTCATGTGGTTATTGAAATCACAAGCATTTTTATTGACAGATTAGTATTATAATGGTATCGTTTTTATTTGTTTTGTTTTAGATGCTGTTAGAGAAATTTGTTGAAGAATGTAAGTTCCCTCCAGTGCCAGATGCCATTTGTTGCTATCAGAAGTGCCATGGATATTCTAAGATCCAGATTTACATAACTGATCCAGACTTTAAGGTAAATAATGAGCATACAGTGGGACAGTAACTTGCAAAATCATTCCTTAAAATGGGCTCAAAACAAATTCTGTAATTGGAGGCACCCAGGTTCTCTGGCTAGTTAGCAGTTTTGTGTCCTCTTGTCCATCCCATCCTCTGGACTTTTTTAGGTCTGCATCATCTCACATGGGAACTAGAGCCACTGTCTAAATACTGTGGGCTGGTGTAGTGACCTGAGAAGGCAGGCTGGCTCATTTCTTTTCTTCTTCCAGCTTCCTTAGCAGGGTAGGAAACAACATGAGATTGTTACCTCTGATTTGTTGCAGTTCCGATCTCTCATAAAATTTGAGTCCAGAATCTAAAGGTCATTGTGATCACTGAATTAGCTGCTAGAGACCTCAATTTGAGATCAGTCTAGCACTTAATTAAGCTATACTGATTTATTCAAGAAGATAGTAACTGTCCCTGTCCTATTGTCCCACTGTCCCTGGTTAGTAATTCAGATGGAATAATGTTTATAAAATATTTGATATAAAGAATAATGCAACTTTATGCTGTGGAAATAAATGTTGGTCAAGCTTTCTCTATGTGTGTTGTAGTGAGTGTGTGTGCAGAGACATCTTTAAAATAGTAATTAAATTTTTTTTCAAAACCCTAGGGTTTTATTCGAATCAGCTGTTGCCAGTACTGTAAAATAGAATTTCACATCAATTGCTGGAAGAAGTTAAAAACTACAACCTTTAATGATAAAATTGACAAGGTAAAGCATAACAAGATTGTCTGAATTTTTCAGTATACTTACTGTATTCCCCCCTGCCAAGGATTCCTTCCTAAACATTCTGCACGTAATTAGAAAGTTATAAATTATAACTTCAATAATAAAGTGGAAAATTAGGTTTTGTTTTTATTTATACAATTATAAAGGCAGTAACCATAGAGGCTTTGTTTTTTTTTAAAGAGACAGGTCTCACTGTGTTGCCGAGGCTAGAGTGTAGTGGTGCAGTTGTAGCTCACTGTAGCCTCTGACTCCTTGACTCAGGTGATCCTCCTACTTCAGCCTCCCAAAGTGCTGGCATTATAGGCATGAGCCACTGTGCCAGGCCCCACATGAAAGTTTTGATGGGGAATTAAGAGTTTTCAAAACGAAAATAGGATGAGGTAATTTGTACTAAGAAGTCAACTGAAAACAAATATTTTTAATGTTGGGAAAAAGAATCAACTTCAATTTTAAACTGCCATTTCTCACCAGGGATTTTCTTATTATCAAGATAATGGTGTTAATTACCATTAAGTAGACGTACATTGAGGGAAGGTACAATATTACAATATTACTTGTATTCATAGAATTTGTTTCTGATCTATAGAAACTGGACTTTTTCCTACACTGCATAGGCTTATGCAGTCACTGTTCTTATTGGGGAAAGAATAAGGCAGTTGTACTAGGTGTCTGCTAACAATAGCAGTTACTAAAGTTTGGTAGAATTAAATCCTCACATTTTGTGCATATTCACATAATTAATTAAGAATGTAATAATATACGTAAATAACAGTCACCTTTGAGTCACTTCTGCTATGTCTTTGGCTTACCTAAATTGAGTTTCTCTAGTGATACTCCCTCTTTTATTGGTCTTAACCATTTAAATATGCTCTGTAAATTAGTCGGCTTTCATCAGGATATGCCAAAGTAATATACAACCCAAATATCTTGTGGCATACATTCAGAGAGGTTTGTTTTTTGCTTACATGACTTGTCCTGCAGTTCTGCAGTTGCATGGGACTGGGCTGTAGCAGTTCTATTCTGTGTGGCTCTATTCTTTGTTTCTCAATCCATGTTGAAGAGTGACCCATTTCTGGACCATCATCCTGTGTCAGAGGAAAAAGAACACGTCCAGTCTATGAAGTGTTGTTTGTTAAACTTTTTGCCTAGACATGTATATGACACATCTGGTCACTTGCATTGATGGCTTATGATCAGACCCATACCTGGAAGTGTATTTTTCCTACATGGAAGCTTTAAATTTGCATGGCAATGAGTAGGGATTTTCACCACTTCCCTGAAGATGGTTTTAGTCCATATTTTGACTGTTCTTAGTGGTAAAAATAGCATACATGTATAGATTTTTCTCCCCAGACATAACATTTTTCTTTTTCCTTTTTTCTTTAATAGGATTTTCTTCAAGGAATATGTCTTACCCCTGACTGTGAAGGTATCATTTCTAAGATTATCATCTTCAGCAGTGGTGGTCAAGTTAAATGTGAAGTAAGTAATAAAGGGAAACTTATTAAATAGGTAACCAAAATGTTTGCACCTTTTGAAACATGATTTGAATTTGTAGAAGTAGTATAATTTGGATTTTTTCCAGGAAAGAAACAGTTACTTCATTTAAGAAAATACAGGAAGTACTCTGATGTGAGAATGCTTCATTGTAATGAAAGCATTCTAATATTTTATTTCTTAATAGGAAAAGAAGGCTTCTTACATCTTAGTTTTACTGTTTTTATTCTTTTTGATAACTCCATTTTCTTAAACCCAGTAAACTTTTGGGAATTTGTGGGTATGCAGGTTTTTAGGGAGGGGGAAGTGTCCTGAGGGATTATCTTTAACTTCATGACATGGGAGTGGCAGGAGTGGGTAGTTGTAGTAATTTAATTTGCACTGTATTAGAGTGTCTGCTTACTCTTGATTTTTTAAAAACTTTTTCCTAAAATGTGTCTACTCTCTTGTTCCTCTTCAGTAAATTATTTTGCTTATGCTTTCTGGGCTTTTGTCTGGGTCAGAACATCATCACTGTTCTCTATCAAATTGAACATTGTGTGTGTTTCTGAAATACTTGTTACTTGTGGTTTTGTGCTTTATGTCATGGGAGTATGAGACAAATTTTGGATGTCTTTGTTTTATTTAAAGTTTGAACACAAGGTCATAAAAGAAAAGGTTCCTCCAAGACCTATTCTGAAACAGAAATGTTCTAGGTAAGATTTTTAACACTCAATCGGTGGTTTGATGATGTCTCTTATAATATAATTCTAGTGAATGCAGATGTCTAAATTGTGCCTTTTTTTAATTGGCTGTGTGTACATATATCCAAATAAGTGTTTTTTTAAAATGATTTTTATGGAAATTTAAAACTTAAAGAGAACTAGTCTAGAATGATTAAATACTAAAAACTTGATTCAGATTTATTTATCTAGTGGTTGAATTTATAAGTAAAATTATAACATCTGATGCTGTGAAATTACATGTTTGATTAATAGATTTGGCATTTATATATAAAGTATATATTTTGCTCTCAGTTGTTGAAACTTTAATTCCAAAAGCATATTTTTCTTTTTCTCTCTTTTCAATAAACATTTTGAACCTATGACTACTTTTTACCCTGAAATACTTAATGTATTGTCTAAATTACTTACTTCTCTTTTTTTTATTTTTTTTTGAGAAGGAAGTTCACTCTTTTTTCCCAGGCTTGGTTGCAATGGCGCGATCTCGGCTCACCGCAACCTCCGCCTCCTGGGTTCAGGCAATTCTCCTGCCTCAGCCTCCTGAGTAGCTGGGACTACAGGCACGCGCCACCATGCCCAGCTAATTTTTTGTATTTTTAGTAGAGACGGGGTTTCACCATATTCACCAGGATGGTCTCGATCTCTTGACCTCGTGATCCACCCGCCTCGGCCTCCCAAAGTGCTGGGATTACAGGCTTGAGCCACCGCGCCCGACCATGAATTCTTTTTTCTTTTCTTTTTGGTACTGCTTGTTTTTCTAAGAAGTGATTATTTTTCATCATTTGTGACTAAGAAAAAGCAAAAGAAAAGATCAACAGAATTATTTGTTGAAGAGAATTCATTGTAACCAGATCAACCAAATTATATTGTTGTGGGTCATTATTGAAATGTGAAAACTATATTTTACTATGAGATCATTCTTAGAAATGAGAGTTTACATGAATTATTTTACAGAGTAATTTGTACTATTTCTGTTTACCCTATGAAGTAACTTACATACATGGAAGTGACATCTATACAATCTGTAGACTGCATCCTTAGACATTACTTAATCATTGAGGTTCTTGTTTTCATGAAACAAGTACCTTTATGTTGACAATACTGATAGTTTCTTATATTGAATGGAAGATGTAGGCCGGGCTCTATTTAAAAAGGAAAACTTCGAATGTATTGCTTGGAAGACAGCTTCTACAATAGTCAAAGGAAAACAGTTCATTGAATTATCACTGATTGTAACCGTTTATCAGCCTAGAGAAACTAAGACTGAAAGAAGACAAAAAATTGAAGAGAAAGATCCAAAAACAAGAAGCAAAAAAATTAGCACAAGAAAGAATGGAGGAGGACTTAAGAGAAAGTAATCCACCCAAAAACGAAGAGCAGAAAGGTATGCAGAAGCCCAAGGCATGATAAGAATAATATAGTCTCGCTTAGAAGTACAAATATAAGCATCTTACTTGCCTTATATTCTTCGTTATTGAACTGAAATAAAGATTTCAGTTAGTAGTTTAATACTATTACTGTCTTCTGTTACTCGACACGGAGTTGTGTTGTGTGAAGGGCACTGACTTTAGAAGCAGTACCCAGGAATTCTAGCATTAAGCCACTATTAACTGTGAACAAACTCTGTCAGTTTCCTCATCTTGGAAGTGAAGGTGGACATAATGTCTGACCTGTGTGTTGTATTTACAGTGCCCTATAAATTCTGCCATGCGGTTTAAGTTCCAAAATGTTGAGCTGTAAATCAGCTGTGAATTATCTGTATTAATGCTGAATTCCAATTAAGAGGCAGTCCGCAAAAGGTACCATAAAGAGGACCTAGTCTAGCCTTCTACTTTACGCTTATCTTGTCTTCATTCCCCCATTAGCATGGGAGTGTCTCATTAGTAATTTTTCTGTTCCTGTGTATATGTTGGCCAGTATGTTTATTTTCAGTTTTGAATTGATGTATGTTTTCTTCACATTCTGCTATTTGAATGGCTGTGTTTCCAAAGTGAAATATTTTTTACTTGCTGTGTTTTTTTTAATCTGGTGTTCCATTAATGTTTCTCAAATCAATCAAAACTATCATTCTAAAAAACCTTTCAGAGATTGTATTTTAACTTTGCATGCTTGATGACTAAACATATTTACTGTATATAGTTAAGGTATTTGATGAGGTTGGGTTAGGATTGTTGAAGGAAGTAGCCATAGTTTAGAGGAACTAAGTTTTAAATGCTACAATATGATGGTTCAGAATGAAGGATATAAAATGCTTACTTTTGATATGTTTATTTTAGTGTGCGCTTTCATGTCTTTTCAAAAGTATTGTTAAATGTTTATTTCTAATTAAAGTTTCTTAAGTTGTTTATGCAAAACAATATAATCAATCTGAATTATATTTTATATTATGTAATTTTACATTATTTCTAAGTACATATCGTTGTGAATTAGTCCTATTTATCGCTTTAATCATTGTTATTTATCCTTAGAAACTGTAGACAATGTTCAGCATTGTCAGTTCATTGATGACAGAATTCTACAGTGCATAAAGCAGTATGCTGACAAGATTAAATCCGGCATACGGAATACAGCCACACTTCTCAAAGAATTGCTTTCTTGGAAAGTTTTGAGCACAGAAGACTATACAACCTGTTTTTCTAGCAGAAATTTTCTAAATGAAGCAGTGGACTATGTTATTCGTCACTTGATTCAAGAAAAGAACAGAGTAAAGACAAGGATATTTCTGCATGTTTTAAGTGAGCTTAAAGAAGTGGAGCCCAAATTAGCCACCTGGATCCAAAAACTTAATAGCTTTGGTATGTCCCTTTATATTCCAGAACAATATACTTGAGTAGGAAGGGGAAGTGTAGGTCTCTGAGTCATTGTCATTTTTCTGTCATATAATTTATAACTTTAAATGCAGGACTATAAATTTGTATGTCCATCGATGGTAGACTGGACAAGGAAAATGTGGCACATATACACCATGAAATACTATGCAGCCATAAAAAATGATGAGTCCATGTCCTTTTGTAGGGACATGGATGAATCTGGAAACCATCATTCTCAACAAACTGACACAAGAACAGAAAATAAAACACTGCATGTTCTCACTCATAGGCGAGTGTTGAACAATGAAAACACATGGACACAGGGAGGGGAGCATCACACACTGGGGTCTGTTGGGGGGTGGCTAGGGGAGGGACAGTGGGGGGTGAGGAGGTTGGGGAGGGATGACATGGGGAGAAATGCCAGATACAGGTGATGTGGGATGGAGGCAGCAAACCACCTTGCCATGTATGTACCTATACAACAATCCTGCACAGTCTGTACATGTACCTAAAGTATATTTAAAAAAAAAAGAAGAAGAATGCTAGTCCAGTCGCAGCTACTTGGGAGGTTGATGCAGATGATTGCTTAACCTCAGGAATTTGAGACCAACCTGGCAGGGTTGCAAGACCTGTCTCTAAAATTTTTTTTTTTGATTTTTAAAAGAACAAAATATATGAAGGTCTTTAAGGAACAAAAAAAATTATTACACAATTTTTAGGTTATTTTATATGTAGGTTACAGTATACTTTTTCAAAAGATATAAACAATGGAATGACCAGTCAATAAAGACATCCAGACCACCTATATTAGACTAAACTGTAAATGTGTAGATGTGTGAACACTAAGCACAGGTGCACAACCATGAGTGAATAACACATCCTGGAGTCTGCCCTCTGCCCAGCAGCTGGGTTGAGAAGAAAAATCTGTAATTCAGACTCTTTGAAGAAAAATTTAGAGGGAAGAGTGGGTGAGATTAATTGCTCAGGGTCACCTAAGGCAAATCTGTAGAGATTAAGAGAAACATATCCTAGGGTTGGACTGGGCTATGGTAAATCACAGTCTTATATAACCCTGTTACTCTGTTCTGACTTTACTAATTTGGCTGGGAGAAGGGAAGAGTGAGTAAGACCCCTGCCCTACCCAAAGCAGGCTCTTTGCCTAAGGCTATGCAGGACTGCGGAAGGCAACTTCGGATGCAGTTGTTGTGTAACACTAGGTAGGGATGCTTTGGGCACTATTTATCTTAGTGACTGGAAAGCAACTGGCCTAGCATAACAGTTTATTCAGTTGGCCACTGTTAGATAAGAGACTAAAGGGAGCCACAGGAAAAAGGCAGGGTCTTTTAGCAGCAGACCAGAGAAAGGGGCCTGCCAAGCCTCTGCGAGCCATCCCACCTGCCTGAATTTTTAGCAACATGGGGCTATTAGAATTTTAAGGCTTCAGAGAATGTTGGTCAGTTTCTGCCAAGAGAAACAAAGTAACATGGCAGCAAGCTTAGCATAGTTAGACAGCTGAACATTCCTGCTTTGAGCATAGATCCTCATGGATTTGTGGTCTCGGAAAGTTACTTTTAAATGATAAGATTGTCACTAGTGAATATCAAGTAAGCAAATTATAAAGTTATTGCTTACTTTAACATGCTTTAGGAGATGCTCGGGACTAGAGAAGTAGGTTTGCCTGAGTTATGCTACACGGTCAAGACTGCCAGCCACTGTTCATTCAGGTAAACATAGTGCCTAAGCCTTCCAGCTCGCTGGCAGGAAACGGTGAACATGTCTTTTGATATAAACATGTTTATTCTGAAGATTAAAGGTATCATTTTAATAAGGATATATGTATACTCTTTAAAGTAGCAATTTTTATTTAAAGTTGTGAGATGAGTTCAAGCATGTTAATTAGTAAGGCTGTTAGTACAGCCCTGAAGTAAAATGCACACTTAAATAATAAGTAAAGCAGTTTTCAATACTTCAAATTTTACTTCTCATAAAACATCTATAAGGTGGACTTACATCATGCGCATATTTCACGTAAGAGAGATCAGTTTATATGTTCAACAAAACATGGAGGGAGGAAAAGAGAGAGGAAGGGAGGGAGGGAGAGAGAGAAATAACAGAGCACTAGTGAGAGAAATTTGACATTTCAGTAGTGAACACTGCCTGCCTGCATTCCCAGCATTGAGTACAAGCTGACGTGGATAAGGAATGGGAATGTGCTATTTCTTAATTGGGCACTTACAAATCTACTATAGCGTGAGTATCTTATATGATCCCTGATTCTGGTGTTTAAAGATCCTAATTTTCCTGCAACATGATCTCTGCAAGCTAACTCTTTAATCTGGAAGCAAGCAGCCTAGGGTAATTTCGACTGAGCAACCTCTGCTTCATTTGTTGACTTCATTTGTCAACTAAGGCCCTCAGAAGAAGTGACCATTTTGTATTGGAGGCATGATGGAGAAATTGGACAGAGCCCCTTTTTGCTTTTTGGTGGCTATTCATCAGGAGTGGGGCTTCACCGTCTTTTCAGCAGGAGTATGTATGAGATTGCAGTCACCCTGTTTTCTAATTTGGAGGGTGGAGATAAAAGCAGGCATGCTGACCACCTTGAATTTTGTAGAGGAGGGTGAGGACCCACATTTCGGGGAATAAGGAGCCATTATCCTCTTTTAGATGCATTTGGGAAGATTTTGCATTATTGTTGATGTTTTGTTACTATGGAATCCATATAAAAAATCAAAATCTTGCAAGTTCGTACTAATTGGAATGAAAGTCATTATGAATTAGTGAAAACATCATTTGGATTTTTTTTTTTCTTTTTTTAGAGATAGGCTCTTGCCTCATCACCCAGGCTGGAGTGCAGTAGTGCCATCATAGCTTACTGCAGCCTTGAACTCCTGGGCTTAAGCAGTCCTCCCACCTCAGCCTCCCGAGTAGGTGGGACTACAGACATTTACCTCCATACCTGGCTAATTTATTTATTTTTTTATTTTTGTAGAGATGGGGGTCTTGCTATGTTGCCAGGGCTGGTATCGAACTCCTGGCCTCAAGTGAGCTCCCAGCCGTGGCTTCCCAAAGTGCTGAGATTACAGGCCTAAGCCACCATGCCTGACCTCATTATTATATTTTTAAAGGAATTTAATGCCATACTTTCATCTCCTAGGTCTAATAAAGGTAGCTGTGATAGTAGAAGGCATTGGCCCACATTATTCAAATATAATAGATAAGACTTATTATAATTAGCCTAACAATGTTAAATGGTGTTTCTAAAATGCATAATAACTTGAATGAATCTGTTCTCAACTATTCAAATGTTTTTGCTGAAAATATAAGCAAATTGTAGTCAGTTGCTTTCAGAGATGTGAACCTCAATAATTTCCTTCCTCTTCTGATTTGAGTTTTGTTTTTATTACAGGCCTAGATGCCACAGGACCTTTCTTTTCTCGTTATGGAGCATCTCTTAAACAGCTTGATTTTAGCATCATGACTTTCCTCTGGAATGAGAAATATGGTCATAAACTAGCCTCTATTGAAGGAAAGAAACTTGATTATTTCTATGAGCCAGCGTCATTGAAGGAAGCCCGTTGTTTAATATGGCTGCTGGAAGAACACAGAGACAAGTTCCCAGCATTGCATAGTGCTTTAGATGAATTCTTTGATATAATGGGTATGTTGACTGAGTTTAGATTTACTTTACATTTAATCTTAAGGGGAAAAAAAATCTGTGAAGGACCTACGTTATTTAAATATATAACAAAGAAAATAGTGAAAATTAATATGGTACAACCAGTTTATGTGGGGAAGTTAGTGATTAACAATAGCAATTTTTTTATATATCATGAAGCTTTTTTACTTTATCAGCTATAGAGATACTCAAATGTGGGTATGTTATGCTGACAATACACGATGTTCTTCCTGTCTTCAATATTTTCACAGCATCATGGGAAAGACTGCATGTCACATTGACAGAATCTGTTAGCAAGCAGTTTGATCTGTAGCATTTTAGAAAACATTGGCCTGCAGAAGTAGGTGATGTTTGCAGAATCTGGAATGGATAGCACATTTTAATGGGAAGAGCCTAGAACTGGGGATCAGGAAAAGTATTTGTGGCACAGCTTCTTCCTTAGTTTAGTTCACTAAAAACCTGTGGGCCCAGTGCTAGGTGTTGAGAAGGAATTCAGAAATGCTTATACTTGTCTCTGCCCTCGAGGACCTTGTGTTCTAGAAAAGAGTGTAAGATACATGCACTAATGACAGTAACGTGGTAGTAAGCTCAATAAGGGAGGGCCAGAGGAAGTGCCAAGGGCATCAGAGTAAGGACCCAATATTTCCTTTCTCCCTGGGAGAGAGGAAAGCCGTGGTGCAGGGGTAGAGTCTCAGATGGGCAGTGAACGTGAAAGTGGAATTAGAAAGCTGGGTGTTAGGGCTTATTTGGAATTGGGGTGCCTATTTAGGTAATGGCATGGAGTCCAGCTTGTACTAACTAGCTAGCTAGCAGCTAATTCCTTCTCTTCTCTTAGATCTTAATTTCTGCATTAAAATGAGATGATTTGGAGCCAGTGACCTGTGTGGTCCTGTTTTACTTAAAAATTCTAATATTCCTAATTCTAAATTAATAATAATTTATTACCTTTCATACTACATGAACATGTTACGATAATCCCCAAGTCCCTCATAATCAGAAGTCTCCTTTATGTATTGTTAGGAGTTAGACTTTTAAATGTCATGCTGTTTGTTCTAAAGGGTACATTAAAAGATCTGGCTTTGTACGATCGTGTCACAGATGATAAACTTCCAATGCAGTATAAGGAAGCGGAAACCTTACTTTTGACAACAAAAGTTCTTAGAAAAGAGCATACTCAAATACAGATGGCTTTATCTTTCCAGAATACTGCTTCATGACTGACGGTGACATGCTGCTTGATAGCCCGAATTTATTGCCATCAGTTTGCAGCTGATGGTAATAAAAGCTGTCCTGGGACTGAGCTTACAAAACCTGATGCATATTTGGATCACAAAACAAGACAAATAAAAAGGACACAATTCCCTCTCAGCGGACACCTGTTCTTTAACGTGTGTTCCCTACATAAAATATACAGCACTTCTGGCTGCCACTGTTTCTCTGTTTTCTAGTCATGACATCAGAGGCCATTAATCAAATTGTTGGCAATCCCAATGTATTCTCAAGTCCAGTAGCCTTCTGCCTTCATCCCAGACATTTTCAGTTTTATCTCTTTATTTAAAAGAATGGTTATATTTCTTAAAACTTTTCAAAATACACTGATCTTGTAGATCGACAGCATCACCACTGCTGTAATAATTGAGAGCCCCGACTTTTCTCCTCACCTCTGTCATGCGTGATTCCCTAGGGTATTTCTATGAGACAGCCAAAGGGCCTCTGAAAGCGTATGACTGAACCCACCTGTCACATCCTGAGACCTGTTTCTCCTCAGTTTCTCTCAGTCACTAACATTGTATATCTAGTGTTTAAGCAGGAAGTCCTGTAATTAGTCTCAATTCTTTCTTTTCTGTATTAATAGTATAACTTGTTTGTCATTGGTCCAAATGAGCTTTGTCTTTGATCTGTCCTTTCCTGTCCATCCCACTTCCCACGTCCAGGACCTTGGTTGTCTTTCCATAGTTAGACTACGGTAGTAGCCTCCAAACTGGTCTCCATGCCTCTAGACTCTCCCACTCTTTATCTTCCTCTTACGTTGCAGCTAGTGACTCTTGTAGAACATCTGTCTGATTCTGTTAACGATTCGATTTGGGAAACATTAGTTTTACTTACAAATTAAGTTCACATCATCTCTCTGGGGTCTGGGTTCATCCTCTCTCTCTAAGTACACACCCCACTTCTGACTGTGCCCAAAGCTGCCCTGTGCTTTCCTGCCTCCTGTTTGCTCATCTGGTTGCCTGAGCCATGCCCGATCCCTTTGCTCATTCATTTCAAGAGTAACTTAAATGTCCCCTCCTCCTCAGAGTCCTCCTTGCCTCTCCTGTCAGCCTCTCCCTTGCAGACGGCGGACTTGAGTCCTCTGTGAGCTTTGTTGCCTTGTGTTGCTTGTGGTACTTAGCACACTGGGTTACAGGTGTTTGTCTGTCTGTCTTTCTGACAGTAGAACAGGAGTTCACCGATAGCAGGGACTGTTTTGTGCATCTCCTCTGTATTCCCAGCATTAGCATAGATGGCACCTAGAAGGCACTCAAACTCTGCTGAATTGGGTTGAAGTTTTATGGTCTTTGTAGTTGGTTTCCCATTTAGTCAGCCCTTTTGCCTTTGGTTTCTAAACCACACTTGTGTCAAAGCCAAATAAGGAATAGAGCATGGTCGATGCCAGTTGTATCAGGAGTAGTTTTAAAGGCTTTGGTGTATTGTATGGAAATGTAAATATTTAGTTCCCTCACAAAACTATCTGTATATTCCTACAGACAGCCGCTGTACTGTGTTAAGGAAACAAGACAGTGGTGAAGCACCGGTAAGTTACTCAATCACTTGAAATCTTACTTTCTAATCTGTGTTAAACAAAGGACTAGAGGGGAACCCAGGCCATTGTTTATTGACATCACAGGCAGTATTCAAGAACCACATTAAAAGGACATCCGGTAGCATGTACTATTTCATTAGAAAGTCATTGCCGGTTGTCCTCTTGGAATTGGAGCAATAATCAGCAAACTCTGAGGCTTAAATTAGACAATTTCCATAAAGTTTCAGAGCTGGTAAACATTAACATTCTAATTAAGGAAGGAAGAGTTCTTCATCTCCTGGCATAAAAAATGAAAAGTTATCTTTAATAATTATTAAAGTTTTAATGTTTTGCTGTAGAAGGAAAACAAAGGGACTTCGTTTTGAGTCCCTTAATTGAATTTAAGTTCAAACAGTTCCAGTGTTGTCTTCCTCAGTGGTTTGCAGTTGCCTTTTATTCTTTCTTTAGAAATTCTTCAGTTTTAGGAAAGGGATTAAATAAAGAAAACCATAGCATTGTGGCAGTTTTCAAAGAGAAAGATACCTGTTTACTGATTTTCAGGAGCAAATTATCTATCTATATGAACTTTTGTCTTAATCTGCTTCATCAAAATATTGCCTGGCTGAGCAGGGATACACGGCGGACACACTCTGCAAGGAGCTGACGGCTTCTTTATTCACTGTTTGTGCCCCAGTGTCTGGCAGGTGCAGAATGTCTAGTTTGGCTTAGTAAATGAAATATATTAATAATAATAATACGATAATAGCGAATGACTGGAATTACTTAAAAGTCTGATTAATTACTTGAAATAACATTCCAACCCTGTGGAAAATAAGAATGTTGGAACAATTTAATTTTAGCTATAACATTAGGTATTATTAAATTTTTGCTTATTTTCTATTGTAAATCATAGCCCTTGGGCTGATACACTGTAGTGTTATTTTTGTTAAACATTTTATATACATTTAACTTATGACTAGTCTGTGAAAACCGATATGGTTTCTTTATGTTGAGCTTCATAATAGTTATTTGAGTGTTCACTGATTTTCCCCCCCCATTTTTTAGTTTAGTTCTACCAAGGTGAAAAACAAAGGCAAGAAAAAGAAGCCAAAGGATTCAAAGGTATGAAGTATTTTCTGTATTAACTCTTGTCTAAATTCTCCAAAATAGTTAGCTGACATATAAATTCGAATTAAGCAATTCTTGGGATGTTTTGAAACATTTATAGAGAATGACTTTCAAGCTGTTAAAGATGTTTTGGCAGTCTTCTACATATTGGAGAAATTCCAGGTTCTTTTTTACATAATAGCAAGTCTTGAGACTTGTATGCTTTATTGTCCTTTTTATTTTTTAGCTATTTCTGAGTAAAAAAAATTTGTCATAATGTCCCCAAAAATAAATAAGTCTCATAAATGATAACTTATTAAACTAAAAGTGATAAATACTAATCTTGATAGAATCCCTTTCTTCCTCTCACCAAAGGCTCTCCTGCAAGCCCATGAGATAAGTAGGGCATTTTCATTTTTATTTTTGGGATAGGATCTCCTTCTATCACCCAGGCTGGAGAATGGTGGTGCAGTGACAGTTCACAGCAGCCTCAAATTCCCAGGCCCAAGTGATCCTCCCATCTCAGCCTCCCGAATAGCCAGGATTACAGGTGCATGCCACCATGCCCAGCTAATTTTTTGTAGAGATGTGGTTTGCTATATTGCCCAGGCTGGTCTAGAACTCCTGTTCCAAAGCGATCTGCCCACCTTGGCCTTACAGGGGTGAGCCACTGTGCCAGAGTAGGGCATAATTTTTAAGTCTCGTGGTGGGTTCTTCATGGCTTTTGTGTATGTGGGGAGCAAAAAGGGGGATGGGGAGTGAGACAGTAGCAAGTCTTAAAAGGATGAGAACAGCTAAGGAGTTCCAATGTAACTTTTATTTTTATCTTTGACTATATGTATTTAGTTTAGATAAAATGGGACTTTAAACTGAGTGACATTTTAAGGTTTTTTTTGGAGCATTGGAAACTACTCTAAATGTTAATTTGAGCTTATTTTTGGCTGTTGAAACTTTTATTACTGTGTGTTCCTGTTTATAAGAAAATTTGGATAGATCTTACATATTAGCAGTTTGTATTTGTGCTTATATAAGCATTCGTCAATTTTAATGATTTTTTTTTTTTTACTTTAATGGAATTTTAAGGTAGAAAATCTTTGTCATTTTTCTTTTAAACCAGCCTATGTTAGTTGGGTCCGGAACAACTTCAGTAACTTCAAATAATGAGATCATCACTTCAAGTGAAGACCATAAGTAAGTATAATTTTGAAGTTTTTGCTTTATTTTAACTCAAATGCCTTTACTTAATAAATTGTGTTAATTTTATGTATATAAACTTGTGTTTTATTTCCATAACTTCCCTTTCTAAAGCTGTGCACCTGACAACCTGATATAATTCTGTCTTGATTAAATTTACATAAATGGCTAGTAGGCATTAAGAATTCATTCAAACTGTGTTAAAGTCACAAGACTGGTGACATTCATTCACTAAGTCCGTATTCAGAACTTAGCATGTGCAAGGCTCTGTGGGAAAATCCTAGAAAAATGTATAGAGATTATTTCTTTAAATAGTCAATGAAGAGAATGTCCTGTTAATAGTGCATTTTTGCTGTAATAGAGAGGAAGCTGTTTTGGGAGCTGTGTATGATATGGTTTCACCTTATATATTAGTGATTTTCATTGCCATTTGGATGTTGAAACTGAGTTTTCAAGAAACAAATATTTAAGAAATAAAACTAGTAAGTAGCAGTAATCGTTTTATAACATATTCCTTTATGAACCAAAAATGTACAACATGGGTTTTTTTTCACATTTCTTTTTTTCTTTTTTTTTTTTTTTTTTTTTTGAGACGGAGTTTCGCTCTTGTTACCCAGGCTGGAGTGCAATGGCGTGATCTTGGCTCACCACAACCTCCGCCTCCTGGGTTCAGGCAATTCTCCTGCCTCAGCCTCCTTAGTAGCTGGGATTACAGGCACGTGCCACCATGCCCAGCTAATTTTTTGTATTTTTTTAGTAGAGACGGGGTTTCACCATGTTGACCAGGATGGTCTCGATCTCTTGACCTCGTGATCCACCTGTCTCGGCCTCCCAAAGTGCTGGGATTACAGGCTTGAGCCACTGCGCCCGGCCTTTTTCACATTTCTTAAAGGAGCTGTCAGAACTGTTAAAAATTTACATAGTCATTTTCATGGATTCCTTAAGTTGGGTGATTGTTTTAAGTTAAAATCATAGTCTGTCTTAGTCAGTTTTAGCTGCTATAACAATATACCATAAACTGGGAGGCTTACAAACAGAAATTTATTTCTCACAGTTCTGGAGGCTGGGAAGTCCAAGATCAAGGTACTGACTGATTCAGTGTGTGATGAGGACCTGCTTTCTGATTCATAGATGGTGCCTTCTAGCTGTGTTTTCTCATGCTGGAAGGACAAGGCAACTCTCTGGGGCCTCATTTATAAGGGCACTAATCCCATTCATGGGACAGAACCTAATTACCTCCCAAAGAATCCATATCCTAACACCATCTCGTTGGTGATTAGGTTTCAACATAGTGTTTTGCAGGAACACAAACATTCAGAACATAACATAGCCTTTACTGAGATTAAGTCTTATGTATCAGGCATTGTTTTAGGGGGTTTACATACATAAACTCATTTAATGCACTTATCCTGCCTACCAGGTACAGAAAAGGAAACTCTGAGGCATAGTACAGAGCAACTTGCCCAAGAACACAAAGCTTATAAATAGCAGAGCTACAGCCTGGTCTTAGAGCCCACACTCAAACTACTACATAATTTTAGAGTGCTAACTTCTTATATTTAAAAACACTTTTTTAAGTACCATTTACCAGTCTCAGTTTCACTTTAACTTAATAGCAGTTATAATAAAATCTTTGTCTTTCAATCATTTAACAAGTTAAAATGAATGCAACATTTAAAAAAATATGGAGTTTTAAGAATTTTGCTCTTTGGAGCAAGACTAAATAATTGAAAGTGATTACTTAGAATGTTGGATATGATATTTCTTTACTATAACTGTGGAAGGGTAACTTTTCTACACTTAAGTTTTCCGTTGCTATTTTTTTTTTTTTTTTTTGGCAACATAAAGCTGAGTAATATATTGCCATCATTGTGTTTATTTCAGTTAAACATTCTTCTGGCTAAATAATACAGGTTTATCATTCACAAAATTGGGTGTTTTTTGTTGTTATTTACCAGCAATCGAAATTCAGATTCTGCAGGCCCATTTGCAGTGCCTGACCATCTTCGACAAGATGTAGAAGAATTTGAAGCTCTCTATGACCAACACAGTAATGAATATGTTGTCCGCAATAAGAAGCTATGGGACATTAACCCAAAACAAAAATGTTCAACTCTATATGAGTAAGTGGGTTGAAATTTTTACAACCATTATTTTATACTGAGGCTGCTAATTAAAGATCAGAAGTTGTTTAATTTGTACTGTTTTTAGAGATTTTGCTACATAAAACACAAAGTGAATGGAGGATTTATCTTATTTTTTTGAGACAAGAGTCATTCCATGTCACCCAGGCTGGAGTCCAGTGGTACAATCTCTGCTCACTACAACCCTTGCCTCCCGGGTTCAGGTGATTCTCATGCCTCAGCTTCCGGAGTAGCTGGAATCACGGGCTTGCACCACTACACCTGGCTAATTTTTGTATTTTTAGTAGAGAAGGGGTTTTGCCATGTTGGCCAGGCTGGTCTTAAACTCCTGGCCTTAAGTGATCTGTCTACCTTGGCTTTCCAAAGTGGTGAGATTATAGGTACAAGCCACCACATCTAGCCCTGAGGATTTTTAATCATTAAATTTAGAGTCCTAATGATTATTGATTTTGTCAGTTTGAGCTACTAAGTCAATATTGAGTGGGGTGGATAAAACAATCAAGTAAAAAATTCAGGAAAATCTCGGAAACAGCTTACTGTTTTGAGCTTTGCGTTATTAAATAGTGCATGAAGACGTCCTTTTAAGAAAAGAATCGAGGGTAAGCTCTATAATATAATATTAATTTAAAAGCAAACCCTTCTCCTGGAAGTCCTGTTGGTATCTATCCACCATATGGTCCTTCCTTCTGTTTTCCTCCATTGCGTCATTCCTATTTAGTTTTGTGCTCTCAGATCCTTCTTCATGGTTTTTCTTTAGAGTTGAAATGCTGAGCAAATCATATTTCCAGAGAACTCCTGGATGACAGTGTGGAAACAACTGGAAAATTGTACTATTATTTCTTATATTTTGCTAGAATTTGCTTCAGGCATCCAGAAGTAAAGCTGAAGTGTATAGTTTTCAGTAGCTTGTCTCTTAAAGAATTTATTGTCCTTATAAGTGGGAAGAAATTAAACAACTTTATGAGAATAAAAACTGATTTGTTGCCGGGCGCGGTGGCTCAAGCCTGTAATCCCAGCACTTTGGGAGGCTGAGGCGGGTGGATCACGAGGTCAAGAGATCGAGACCATCCTGGTCAACATGGTGAAACCCCGTCTCTACTAAAACTACAAAAAATTAGCTGGGCATGGTGGCGCGTCCCTGTAATCCCAGCTACTCAGGAGGCTGAGGCAGGAGAATTGCCCGAACCCAGGAGGCGGAGGTTGCGGTGAGCCGAGATCGCGCCATTGCACTCCAGCGTGGGTAACAAGAGTGAAACTCCGTCTCAAAAAAAAAAAAACTGATTTGTTTGTATTTTAAGACAGAACTTATTTCTTATAATAGTAGAAAACCAAGAAGTTTCAGGAAATTATATTTTAAAGCATAATTCTTTGAATTTTCAAAAGTAAAAACATGATAGCATAAGATTGAAGATTTGTTTTATTGGCCAATGGATGAAAGAGAAAAATGAAACTAAACTTTGGTGTATGAAGAGAGTGTAGAGTAGAAAAATATTAAATATTGGTCAAGGAGTCAAGAATACTGGGATAACTGCTACAAACTTTTTGTTGACTTTAGTATTTCATCTTGAAATAGAGAACCAGACAAATTTATTTATTTATTTATTTTTTGAGACGGAGTTTCGCTCTTGTTCCCAAGGCTGGAGTGCAATGGCGCGATCTCGGCTCACCGCAACCTCCGTCTCCTGGGTTCGGGCAATTCTCCTGCCTCAGCCTCCTGAGTAGCTGGGATTACAGGCAC